ATATATATATATATATATATATATATATATATATATATATGTATATATATATGCATTTTTTGCTATTTTCAAATATATGTTAAGTAAAATACTATATGTACGTATATGACACATTTTTACATCTTTGAAATCTAAACATGAACTTGTATTTTAATTAAGTGATTTATTTCTTACAATATCTCTGATTTATTTATGTGGGGTTGCATGATGCACTGGTGCTTTCACTTTTGGCTCAATAGCTTGTTGTTAGTTTTTGGTGTGCTAACATTGAGGGGCATGTGCATTTATTTTTTTTGAATGTAATGTAAAAGTTCAAGTGAATGAGAAGAGAGTCATTTTCTTCTGAAGTTATGCAGAAATTAGATGAATCTCGTTGATGGGGAAACCGTCATTATTCCTCATACTATAATTTTACCAAAACAATGTATAATCATTGCATCCCTTTACAGGGTATGCATCCTCATACCTTACATTACCTCAGATTTAATTCATTTGGCATCAGACATAGTACATAAGCTCATGCACCTTTGCTTATGTCTTGGGCGGGAAAAGGAAAATATAGTTGGTGCTGGTCGCACTTATGATCCAATGCAGCTTTTCCCATACCAACCCACCTACACCAACTCCTAGCCCCCAGTACCCCCTCCATTCAGTTTCTACTGCGATCCTAACCAACAACCCCACCCCCACCACCACCTCCCTCTCCCTTCTCATTCATACGCAACTCTCCCCTTGTTGTCCACTTTCATCCTGTGTACAATCTGTGCCAATTCAAAGTGACCCTGCTTGATCACCTCTGTGAAAAATCCCTGCCTCCAGCCACTGGTATATCGAGGTTCATATCCAAAAACCACAATTGAATGCAGATGTGAATCTGTCAATAAAGCCAAATGTGAAAGCACCGGCTAATCGCACGGTCCCACATATAGAAATATGAAATACAGCAGTAAATGCAAATCACATAATTCAAATACTATTTCAGTGTGAAAAGTCAGAACAAGCAACATCACCGTACTTCTTGTACAAAAATGTTATGTACATCCCTGACTATGAATTAATATTGATCAAGTGATGGCAGTATTAATCGAAGCATGCTTCATTTTCCTCTAGGGTGAAGGTCCTGTTGGTGAACCTGGAGCAAAGGGATACTCAGGTCCACCAGGTCGTTCAGGTCTAATCGGCCCAAAAGGAAATCCTGGCCAAGTTCTCGGAGCAACTAAAGGTTTAAGTGGCTTGCCTGGAGATGATGGACAGACTGGTCCTGATGGGAGAACAGGGCCTCCTGGTCCTCCAGGTATGTGTGTGTATATATGTGTTGTTGTAATATTAATACACTATATCGATATGTTTTTGCAAATATTTCAGTTGAAATGTTTTGATTCTACATTGTTACACCCTTTCTAAATCATATCTATATTATATGTGTCTTACAGGAGACTGTAGCTCAAGAGGAGGAAGTCAGTGGAGTATCCCAGGTAGCTGGCCATAAGGTCTTTTCACAACATGTAACTGTAAAAATACCTGAAATGTTGACGATATTGGTGTCTATATCAATGGAGGATTTTATTTTGCGTCAAATGCACAAGCTTATTGGTGGATTCTGACTGGCTGCCTGTATTTGATTTGTTTATCATCTTTAGGGAAATAAGTCAGATGAATCAAAGTCATTTCTCTACTGTATGTTATAAGTGTTACAGATATGCTGAATTCAGAGAATTAGAACCATTATAACGTCATAGTTACTGTTGGCGTGGACAGGCTTTACCTGAACATTGCATTAATCTATCATGCATGGTCATCATTATCTAAATGTGTATTTTATTGTGAACCATGCTAATCTTTCTATAGTGGAGTGTATTGGAGATCCTGGGCCACCTGGAGAGAGTGGGCTACCTGGACCACGAGGGTTGGAAGGATTTCCAGGTAAATGAATGCATTTTTGTAACATTTTCTGCAAATGAATTGTAAAATGAACAGACTGCTGAGATATATTCTCTAGTTACATTATACCTGCGTATATGTGTGTGCTATAGGTGTACCAGGACCTAAAGGCACAGCAGGTTTTTCTGGAGATCTCGGGGATAAAGGAGAGCGAGGTGAACCAGGAAGAGGAGGCCCACCTGGACCAAAGGGTAAGCATCTAGAAGCCTGTGTGTTTGTATACATTTCCTTTAATAACTCTTTTTAATTATTTTGTCTGTCGCCTTTTCTCAGATTTTATCATTTGATTTTGACTACATAGGTTTTACTGGACCTCGGGGAGATTTAGGATATCCTGGCACCAAAGGTGTGAAAGGTCCCCCAGGTTTATCTGGTAAACCAGGTTTGGATGGAGCTTCAGGGGGAAAGGGTGAACATGGTGAAGTATTTGGAGCATCTTCTGGTGCCCCTGGAGATCCGGGACTGCCAGGACATAGAGGAGACACCGGCCTGACTGGAGACCCAGGCTTACCAGGATACTTTGGTGAGAATCAAAACCTATTTTGAAGAATATGTTCATGCTAAACTTATGTAACCTTCAAATAAAAGTCTTTATAGTTTATAAATAACTCAATGCATCACTAGTTCAGTAAGGTTTAGTAGTGTAACGTGAAGTAGACGCTGACAACGGGAAGTGCAGATTCAAACACAGGGTTTATTAAATGGAATGGTCAAGCCAGCAACGATCAACCAGAGATGTATAAAGTACTAGAGACCCAGACTTAAGTAAAAGTACTCAATCAAAAAGTGACTCGATTAGAAATTAAAGTGCTCTTTAAGCACTATACTTAAGTGGAAGTACTAAAGTATTCAACATTTTTTTTTTACTTGAGTATTGCAAGTAGTTTATTTCAAAATTGACTACTCAGAGTACTGAAAGTAAAAGTACAAGTATTGTGTAATGTAGTTATTAAAGAAAGCAGTAAAAGACATCATATTGTTTTGTTTATTTTAAATATCTTTTTTGGGAGCACGTGATTAAGCAGAACGAAAAGGAACATGGCTTACGATAATGTTTTCTCTCGCGCTTGAACCACAGATCTGACAGATTATATCAGCTTTAACACACACACCTTTCAAAGTTGTGTGTCACAAAAACACTCTGTAATCCACTCAAAGCGCTATTGAAACCCATTTTCGGATGGCAAATTACCGGTTGTAAACGCTGTAAACGAAAGTTCTAAACATTCTACTGGAAGACAGTGGTAGCTATGGTGCCCTCCATGCAGTAGCCAAGAAAAAGGTCTATAATTGAAAGTAGTAGAGGTGTGAATCTATACTGGTCTCACAGTTTGGTTCGGTTACGATTATCATGCCATCGATTTGGTTCAATTCGATATCTCTGTGCATCTTGGTGCATTGACGATGCTTTCCATTCATAATTAGATTTTTTTTTTTACAACAATTTTTTATAATTAAAATCTATAAATATATTTATATTTATATATTATTTGTAATACAATTTTTTTCTTTAATACAGCAGTCAGATATATGAACTGTACCCTTAATTTGACCTGCTCAAAGAAAACACTCTTTCTGAATGTATCAAACAAAACTCCAAAACATGCACAGAAGACAGCATGAGTATTTAGAGCAAACTAACTAATGTAAATATTATCCCGCTTGCCTTTTTGAGCGCTGACAGGCGAGGTCTTACACCCCTATGCTTGGTCATTGTCTTCTCCTGCTCAACATAAAGGGCTGCGATCGGCTTTAGAAATGAAAGCACTTTTCATCGATGACGGGAAGAACAGCCTCAGTTACAGTCTTTATGCGCATAAAACGAGGTTATCACAGGTAATCCATAATAGACACTGTGGAGAAAACTCGCACCACAGACACGCTCATGTCTGGATCCACGAGTTTCGCTTTAACAGCCAAGAGGAGAGGAAAAGTTACCTCACAAATGCCAGTGGCTCAAATGTCCAAAGTGAGAGAGAGAGGTAAAGATGGAGTTTTACAGCATTGCTATAGTAGTGAAATAGCGGCTTGTTTGCTGTGCCGCCTTCATTGTAGTAAGAGTGTTATTTACTCGCCTTCGCCTCAGCCATAGTATTGCGCGTAGGAGATAAATGATGTCAGTACGTAATAACTGGTTATAATCTATTACTGAATTGATATCAATAATTTTGACACCCCTAGTAACGATTAACGTGTTTGCAATCATGAGGATCTAGACCAGGTGTGTGAGTGGTGGATGACTGATTATGTAGTTCTTTTGCTGGCAGATTTGTAGTTCTCCAGCGATCTGCATGTTTACCAGCAATCTGCACAGGCTGTATTGCTGTTGATTGTGTCAAGTAGATACAAAGTACAGTTGAAGTCAGAATTATTAGCCCCCTTTGAATTTTTTTCTTCTTTTTAAAATATTTTCCAAATGATGTTTAACAGAACAAGGAAAGTTTCACAGTATGTCTGATAATATTGTTTCTTCTGGAAAAAGTCTTATTTGTTTTTTTTTTTGGCTTGAATAAAAGCCTTTTTAATTTTTTAAACACCATTTTAGGGTCAAAATTATTAGCCCCTTTAACCTATATATTTTTCGATGGTCTACAGAACAAACTATTATGCTTAAAAATGTGTTGAAAAAATATTCTCTCCGTTAAACAGAAATTGGGGAAAAAATAAACAAGCGCTCTCATAATTCTGACTTCAACTGTTTATATCCACATAAACACTGATGGCGTATTTTAGAGTATTTGTGATGTTTATTCGTGTTTAATTCATACAGTACTAATAGAAAATGGATTTAAGAATTGTTTATATTAATATGTGTAAAACTAAATTCAGATTACGTTTTCCAAAGGCAATGCTAAAAACTAGCACATCTGTGCATATAGATCTTCACATATATAACTAAAAAACCTGTACCCAGGTATTTTTAAAATGCATATATGTACCACTATATCCCTAGACTTATTAAAGCATGTAATCTCACACAGGTATGGAGGGTATGCCAGGTATGACTGGCCTTAAAGGTGAAAGTGGCCCTCCAGGCCTTCAAGGAGAGCAAGGACGACCTGGACCACCAGGAACATTTGGTTTTCCTGGGCAGACTGGGTACACAGGACCTCCTGGACCACCTGGAAATATTGGAGAACCAGGTAATCCAACTGATGCCAAGGTCGCACTTTATTTTGGTGGTCCGTTTGTTAAATCTAAGTTACATTGCATCTACATGCCAACTCATTCTTATTAGATTATATGTAGACTGTTAGGTTGGGGTTAGGGTAAATGCAAGTTGACTTGAACTTGTAAAGTTTCCTATAGTCAGTTAAATGTCTGTTTAAAAGCAGTATCAACAGATATTAAAAAGACAGTATACTAATACTCAAATGGACCATCAAAATAAAATGTTACAGATGCTGATAACTTAGATCAAAATTTAGAAAACAGTATTTGGCTTTAGAAAATAAACCCAGAAATAACATATATCTAAAATGGATTATAAACTGCTGTTTAATTTCATTGTGTTCTCTGACATTTATAATGCTATCAACAATTTTACAATATCAATTTAGAAGTAAGGGTGTTTTCTGGTTGTGTTTTGACCCTATCGTCAAAACATGGCTCACAATGGACATATAGTTTAATGTTTAAATATTAAATAAGTATGAAAAAAAATATAACAGCTGATATAGGCGGGGTTTGTTCACACTATTATGTAATAAAGTGTCAGATACCGGAACCTGTCAGTTAAGCAAGAATTATATGCAATCAAACAATACCCAGTACCATATATTATATCTAAAAACACAGCCACAGCAGACTGACTGAATTTCTTACCCTCTAGTCCAACTCAATAGTATCAGTCATGTTGTTTTTTGAAGGTACTGTATGTAAGTTTTTGGTTATTCTAAAGCATACAAGTACCACAATATGTTTGCATGTATCTCTGACGTGTTAAGTGAACATGCTTGTTAATCTAAAAAAAAAATTAAAGTCAGCTATTCGCCTTAGAACATGCGTATAGTCTCTGTCCACTGCCAGTTTACCCAATTATATTTCAGCACCCTGGGTTGCCTTGGCGGAAAAAATGTTGCATTTCTTTTCAATCTGGCTCGATGTATATGGGTGCAGCCGAAAATGCAACCTCAGGAGTACAATACTGTGCGAAATGTGATGAAGATTTATAGTTTACAGCTTATAGAGTAAGAATCAATCACTAGGCATGCTTGCTCCTATTTTTGTAATTAATCTGGCAACCTGTGTGTGCGTCAAGTCATCAGACGAAGGGCTAGGTGAAAAATAACCCTCTTTAATATTTTGAATTTGGACTGCAATACCTAGTTGAACCAATAGGTGTCAATCCTACATGCTGCATCATAATGATCAGAAATAGTGGCTGTTTCTCAATATGCGTTCTTCAGCGGTCTTGCGTCCTCGTGTTCTTGTGAAACGTCATCATCAGCTGCCAAAGTTCTGTTCCAATACTCAAGACCGCAAGAACAGAGGATGCGTGAAACTTCCCGGATGTGTTCTTGATATTGAGGACGCAACAAAGCAGACTTGAGCAACGAACTCGCTCTAGAAGTCCCAGAAGTCATTGCGACTGGACATGGGAAGCGCAGCATTTTATTTAATATATTATTAAAGTTCAGAGATATAATTTATTTACCTCTGGAGTTACCCTAAATAAAACGGTGAAGTAAACATGACCATGAACATCTTAATAAAGGAATAAACAAATTAGGAGTGTTTGTTTGCTGAAATTTGTATTAAAATCTGTTTTATTAATATTGTGCAACATATATTTATAATGTTTTTATACAAACTATATATTTTGAAAAGTGGAAAAACAATAAATCGTTGTATGAGTGCTGAAATGTTTAAATAATTTACCATTTAAAATGCGTGAACGTCACGTGACCATCAGAAAGAACGCAGCATCTCATTCCTCACAGCACACATTCTCTGTTCTCGCGGTCTCCCGAGTTCGTTCTTCCGAGGACACCTATCAAGATCGGTCTCCACAAGAACGCAAGTCCATTCTCTGCGTTCTTGGAATTGAGAAACAGCCATAAACTAGTGGATCCAAATCTTTGACTTGTAGTTTATGTGATAAATTACATTTGATTTCTGTGTGAAGCAAAACCTCTTCTTCTAACAATGTTTGAACATTCTGTGTTCATGTAGGTCCAAGTGGAAGAAGGGGAGATCAGGGAGAGCCAGGACTAATAGGAGCAAGGGGAGTAAAGGGTGCCATTGGAGACCCTGGCAATATTGGTGTGACAGGAAATATCGGGCCCCCGGGAGATCAAGGAGAAACGGGTGGACCTGGTTTTTTTGGTCTCCCAGGCTTAAAAGGTCAGTTGCCTAGTCCAATTGTTTTAATCCGCTGATTTACACCAGCTTGAGAATAGTATAATTATACTGGTTCAACAGATAGACCAGCATAATTCACTATTGAATTTATATAGGTTTATACTGCTAGATTAGCAAAAATAAAAAAATTAAAAAACATGTTATGTTTAGCAAAAGTGAGTAGGCATGTAACATAATGTGAGCAGATTGCAAATTGCTACCGTAATAAGCATTAACTTTATCACATTTTTATATTGTTTCTCAACCTTATTAATTACCAAAGGTTCCAAAGGTGGTCAGGGCATGACCGGTTTCCCTGGAAAGACCGGTGAGAGAGGTTTGAAAGGATTTTCAGGAACGAAAGGGGAGATCGGTTTACCAGGACACCAAGGTGCAAAAGGAGCTCCTGGTTCTCCAGGTCAAAAAGGTGAATCAGAATGAGTGAATCAGAGTATGATTCTCTGTGTACAAACGCAATATATAGTTCACATGGTCACATTGTACATGTTTTATTATATATATTTCACCACTTAAAATGCCTATTCTGAAGTAGATTTAATAATTTATAACATAAAATAATAATTTTGCATAACCACTTGCGGTAGTTATTACATCCAGCTAGATACTTCCCAACAGTAGCGATTATATTATTCAAATATTGTTCCTAAAGTCTCAAAATCGAGTTTCAAGGTTTTTAAGCAGTGAATGTCAAAGATGTTTTGTCTCATTCAAAGGGCACCTAGGATGAAAAAATTGAGTTTTCAAGCTGTTTGTACAGACAAATGTGTAGGTATAGTGTATAGACCGTCATATTGGGATGATATAGACACACCCAGTCCTTTTTTTTATTTAAGAACATAAAAATGGTGGACCATTTGGAGATGGATGATTTGACGTAGGAGTGAGGTCCCCCCTCCCACCTAATTGATTGACACCTGCATATTAACATGTCCCGGTAGTCACGTGTATAATCATATCAACAAAACAGGACGTGCGCAAAGCAACCGAGAATAACAGATCTGTTCAGTTTACTAGGATCATCAATCATCATCAAATGTGATCAAGATTGAGTTTTACAAGTTTAAAATGTTTTAAAACAGCGCATGTGTGTAATGAATTACAGCGATTTGCTGCAGCATAACCGCATGTCAGAACAAGTATGAAAGAAGACTATTCAATCCCGGTTTGTGGATGTTAAATCAGGTTTATTTTGTACATTAACAGAACAGATATCCATACAGCAGTAGATATTAACCTGTATCCTGTCACATTTGTGTGCAAAGAGAGCTAAGCTAAGTGCGCGTGCTGTCTGTGCGTGCGTGCGTGCGTGCGTGCGTGCGTGCGTGCGTGTGTGTGTGTGCGTGAACTTTGTAACGACATTGTGTGTGACTCATCGTTGCAACTCCACAACAAATGCATCAAATACTCATCATCATACAGCCGAGTGAGGAGATTAAGGCACGCCAAAAGGCATGTAGGAACGGTGGATGGGGAGGACTAACCTTAAAGGCACAGTACAACAAAACCGATACCTGATGCTAAAAGGTATAAAATAGAATCTTATAAAAGGTAAAATAAAAATATGATGGGTGTTTTAAGCTGAAACTTTACAGACACATTCTGGAGACACAAAAGACTTATATTAAATCTGAAAAAGGGGTACTCTAGGTGCCCTTTAATATGTTAGGGTCAATTATAAGCTCACTGCATTATGTTTTCATCAATAAACAGATTATGTCATTTATTGTAGCTGTTTTGATGCTCAGATTTTTATGTCCTCAAATACATTTGGCCAAAATAGCATGTTATATATGATGAAGTATTGTGAAAATGCCATTGAACACAGTATTGGCTATGACTAGATGGCAAATGCTAGAATAAGACACTCAATAAATTGAACCTCAGAATGAAGAAATAAAATAGAGTCTGATTTTTAATTCAAATGATTGAGTTTTAAAAGTCTGTGCTGAGGTTAACCATGCTTGAAAGACAATTCAAGAGTAGGTAAAATTCTGAAACGATTGAAATAACTACAGTAAATATAAAAGATTTACTATATTAACTTGTGCATGGATCAATTGGAACTATTACATGTCCAAAGTTACCTTCTCTTTTTTAAAATCTGTAAATTGTGCTGTGAAGGAGATCAAGATCTAGTTTTTTATCTTGATACCCTCGACTATCTGACTTTAATAACTGAAAGTTTGATTGTATAGCAGCAGTCCTTTCTAAGACTGACTTGTTAGCATTGTTAGCCCAAGTGGTAATGTCAACAGTGCAGTGATCTTTAAAGTCCCTCAGAGTTTCTGTCATCTGTGTTTTTTTGTGTGGTTGTGTGTGTGTTTGTTGGTCTTAAGTGCGTGTACTACATACAATGGCACGATAATAGAATATTAATTAATTCAGCTCACATTAAAAATTGTTGAGCTGTTTTCACATGCGTCCTCCGGGAACTCCAAACCTCCCAGGCCCGGATTGGCTAATCGAGAGGACCGGGAGAATTCCCGGTGGCCCAGTCCGTTTTTTGGCCGCGAGGGCCGGTGTGCCAAGCTGCTTGTTCTCTCAGCAGTTGCACTTTTTTCATTTATTTATTTATTTGACCATAGCCTCACTCTTTTTATTCATTATTTTGCGGCAGCTCTGCTCTTTTTATTTATTTTCTCGCAGCCCCTTGAGCAAAATGCACTGCAGCCTGCAGGTTACCCCAAACAGCGACACCTTAGTGAATAATTACACCTTTAATGAATATTACACCTGCTCAATGAAAATCAGATGATTCACTACATTAATAAATCTGACAAAACTTGATCAAAAATCTAAAAAGAAGAGAAAAAGATTAAGCCGTCAATAAAAGAGTCTTGCAGGTCATAGTGCAATATTTATGTTTCATTCCAGCCGCATTGGAGCAACAGCGCCACTGTGGTCCAGTGGTTAGCACATTCAGTTCTTACGCCGCGGACCCGTGTTCGAACCTCATCTGAAATATTAATTTTTTTTTTTCATTGTTTTATTGTTAAGACATATAATACTGTTATGGTTGTTAAAAATTTGAAGTTCTAAAGCAGAGTCCCACTCCGGCCCTGAAACCTCCTAACCTAATCCTAAATGCAAGTGGGAAATTAGTAGGTTTTTACAAGGTTTGACAATGACTGAATTCAAACTGCATAAGGCTGAAAATATAGCCATAGATATTGAGCGTCTTACATATGCTTGTTCTAAAGGTGACCGAGGGCTGACGGGGCCTCCAGGTGACAAACCAGTCATACATATAACCCCACATATGAAAGAGGTCATGAAGGGATCTAAAGGTGACCATGGAAATATGGGAGATCCTGGCTTCACTGGTCCCAGAGGTAACACTTTTAACATGTTTATTTGACTATTTAAGGACATAAAGCGTGATGTTGGAAACTTTCCAGCACATGAACTTTTTCACAGTTCCTAGAACTATTCATGAAATTATATATATTATGCAGCGAGAACTAGAAACAATTTTTGTTTACCTGTTGTATTTGTCTGGAGTGTTCTGTTCTTTTATAACATGTCTAGGGTCATGTAGCATTCCTTTTTGCTGTTTCAGTTGCGGAATTTACATGCTCTATCTTCATAATCTCAAAGCACACAACACACAATGAAAACAATGCTTCGATTGCAGTGTCTTCTATCCTCCAGTTGTTGATTTTGTTCAATGCAGCACTTTGTGTTGATGTCTATCAGCCTAGATCCTTTCAGATTTATTACTAGTAGTGCTAATCCAACTAAAAAAATGGTCAAGGGAGAAATTAGTCTTGGGGAAACTGACATGATGGCTAATTCTTATAACTGAGTTCCTGTTACTATCAGTTATGTAAGCTTCATAATATGTACTTAAGAAAGTATGAAGTTCATGTACCCGATCAGTGACATAATGTTAGCCAACATCTCGATGTTACCAACACTTTTGGGAGAAGTGTTTAGATGCATATAAATGTGCCAAAGTAGCTCTCTAGTTTGTTCACTCTTACTGATTGAACGATGCTTAACGGATTGAGCTGAAGAAATTACCTGAAGAAGGATTTCATGCCAAAAAAAGATGAAGCACAGGGTCATTCATTCATTCATTTTCTTGTCGGCTTAGTCCCTTTATTAATCTGGGCCGCCACAGCGGAATGAACCGCCAACTTATCCAGCAAGTTTTTACGCAGCGGATGCCCTTCAAGCCCATCTCTGGGAAACATCCACACACAGATTCACACACACACTCATACACTACGGACAATTTAGCCTACCTAATTCACCTGTACCGCATGTCTTTGGACTGTGAAAGAAACTGGAGCACCCGGAGGAAACTGATGCGAACGCAGGGAGAACATGCAAACTCCACACAGAAACGCCAACTGAGCTGAGGCTCGAACCAACGACCCAGCGACAGCACTACTTACTGCGCCACTGCTTCACCCCACAGCACAGGGTCATTGGAAATAAATAAAAGTGTACCTAAACATATATTTGACTGAAGTTTCTAGGTAATATGTACACTGTGAGGCCAACAACGTTTGTTCCTTTTCACACTAATGATATTTACAGGGACTTATTATCAACAAATAAAGAATTATTTTTGCACAGATCTTTGCACAACATAAAATAAATACCTCAAAACAACTTAACCTGATCTATATTATTTGTAAGCGAATAGGTTTGCCTCACCTATCTATCTTCAGCTTTTCTGGTGTGGTCAGTTAGTTCAGTAGCTTACTTTGTATGGTGTTTTACTTGTGATGCAGAGCCCTCAGTATAGAGTGCAAAGACAAAAGCAATGTAAAGTCAAGCTAAAACTACATGGTCACAGTGAGCTTTTGTCCTGCATTTGCTTTTAAAACACTAAAGGTTGGGTTTAGGTTAGTGGTTCTTTGGTCTAGGTCAGGGGTGTCCAAACTCGGTCCTGAAGGGCCGGTGTCCTGAAGATTTTAGCTCCCATCTTGCTTCAACACACCTGCAAGGATGCTTCTAGAAAGCCTAATAAGAGCTTGATTCGCTAGCCCAGGTGTGTCTGATTGGGGTTGGAACTAAACTTTGCAGGACACCGGCCCTCCAGGACCGACTGTGGACATCCCTGCTCTAGGTGACAAGCTCCAGTTGAACGTGAACAAGACGGATGTGTATCTGAAATGTACAACAAAAGGAACAACAACCCTAAGCAATGTGTTTCAGATTTGCAAAAATGTAGACAGCGCCCTCTAGTGGATTTGTCATCTGAAACATGCTACAATTGAATTGCTTACAATGAACCTGTGTTGATTGAAGGCGTTTAAAAACCAGGGAGAAATTGCTGCTTACACTAACAACATGTAATTACACTGCAATGATCATTTATATACTGTTTTCATATTCTAATTGTAACGAACAAACATTACACGTTTTGATACCTATTGCTTTAGTTCCTTGTGATGTCAGAAGCAGTAGTTGCAATGTTACTACGGGCCACTAGGCTGCACTAGAGGGGAGTGATAACTGGATATAAAGCAGGTCACCTTAAAGCAAGAGAGTTGTGTTTGGTAGAAGGAACAGCATGGGGAAATGAAGCTACTGATCTTTAACACCTCCTCTATGTGTTCAAGTTGTTACATAATTATTTCAGTATCTGCGTAAGGTCTTATTTATGCATCAAAATGATAAATATAAGAAAGACACCTATAGCTTTTATTTCTACTTGCCTTTGGCCAGGTACAAAAGGCTTTCCAGGTATACCAGGTGGTGAGGGAAAAGATGGACATCCAGGTGAGCCCAGTGTTGTAAAAGGTGTAAAAGGTCTTCCGGGAGAACCGGGTTTAGAAGGGCCCAAGGGAATGCCAGGGCCTACCGGACTCCCTGGAATTGAAGGTTTCCCTGGAATGTCTGGACCCAAGGTAGGATTTTAAGCCCAGTATCCTTCTTAGCCTTAAAACCATTCATGATAAAAAAAAAACTGCTTGTATATAAGTTAGGATGTGCAGGATGTTGTGCTTTTAATCATTGAAGCTTATTTTTCAGGGCAACAAAGGCTCCTCTGGTGCCTATGGACGACCTGGAGATTCTGGAATCAAAGGATTCAAAGGTGCTAATGAGTAAATGTCAAAAATATCCCATGCTAAAAATCCGTGTGATATACATGGTCATAACCAGTTTGGAGTACTGGTGGTAGTGGTTCAATTATAGCAAACGGAATTGCTGAGATAGACCAGCTGGACCAGCACAGTAGCAACAACCAACATGACTAGATTAAACCAGTGTACGATATTTAAAAAAACTAGCATTGCAATGTTTTGTTTTCTGCTATATATCAAGGTTATTATAGTAAACGAAAAAAAATAGCTAGAATAAAAATAAAAATAAACATTTTAAGGGTAAGTTTGACGTTGGCATGACAGCCTGGGCATTGCACTGGACTAATCCATGCTACACTTCACACTTTTTTTAATGCATCACAAGTTATTCATCAATTTTATCGACATATGGTGCAGTAGCCCGCTAGAGCGTCCCGAGTTCGAATCCCGGCTTGAGGACATTGCCCTACCCCCCTCTCTCTCTCCAACTTCGCTTCCTGTCTAAATACTGTACTATCTAATAAAGGCAAAAAAGGCCAAAAATAAATCTTTAAAAAATAGTTATTGTTAAAGCTGTTGTATTTTAATTTTTTTTATTATTATTATCATCCTCGTTATTATTATTATTATTGTTATTACCAGCATGAGTATATTATAGTTATCACGTTGTTAATAATTCATCATACTGTCAGTTAAATTCTTATTTTTGATATTATTCTTTACTTTGGGTTTGTGTCATTCATAAATTGTCATTAATATAGTTATGTTTTTTTCCTTATTATTCTTATTGTTTTTGTTTGTTGCACTTTATTTTTCGACACTTTCTTTTTTTCCTTTTCTGTTTTTTTTTTCTCTTTTCTCTACTTACTATTAATATTATTATTATCATTATCAGTATTTGTCCTCTCCCTGATTTCCCAACCTCCCCTCACCTCGTCACTTTTATCATTAATGGTATTACTTTTACTTTTGTTTTTATTATTATTGTTAGTGTTCTGACTTGTCCTCCTGTTATCTCCTCATTATCATTATTATAAGTATTTATACCATTGTCATTATTCAGGTCGCAGTAGTAGTAGTAGTATTAGTAGTCATTGTAGTAGTATCGATTGTAATTGTAGTTGGGATTATTGTAGTAGTATATTAGTTCCTGTAGTAGTAGATGTCGTTGATATAGTGGTATCAGAAGTAGTAAACGTGTTGTTGTAGTAGTAGTAGTAGTGATTGTCAGTGTAGTAATATCAGAAGTAGTAGATGTTGTCGATGTAGATGTTGTAGTAGCAGTGATTGCTGTAGTAGTAGTAGTAGTAGAAGATGTTGTTGTAGTAGCATCAGTTGTAATAGACGCTGTAGTAGTATCAGTAGTGGTAGCCGTTGTAGTAGTATCAGTAGTAGTAGTAGTAAATGTGGCTGTGGCTGTAGTAGCAGCAGTAGTAGTTGTAATATTAGTAACTTTCTCTAGTAGTAGTTGGTGTAGTACTTGTGATTTATTATTGTTGTCAGTTATTATTACTGTTGTGTTTTCTTTCTTTTTACTGTCATTCTTAATAATCATAAATTACAAGCATTGTTGTCACTCCTTTAAAAAAACATTACCCCTAACTGATATAAAAAAAAAAAAAAAAACAAGAACTAACCAAAATAGGATTGCGGATATAAAAAACAGAAACTAATTAAAATTATAGCAAAAATGTCCTTAGTTTTCATTTTTGTACATGTATTTAATGCATACTGCAAGCCTTTTAGAAGTAATCTATGTACTTTGCACTGCCACATGTTGGAGCCATACGACATCTCAGAGTCTGTAATCCTGATGCCATTGGCCAGATCAAGCCGCTCTTCTTCCAGTCATCCTTGCTGTTTCTCCTGTGACAAAACAACGGCTGAACATGACAGCTGAACGATGATAACATTAAATACGACCCAGACAGACACTTAAAAGTATTAATTCAACACATTTGTGCCCAATAATGGATTTTATTTTGGATTTCTGTATCCTGATAGCAAACGAATCGTTCCAAACTTCCCATCACTACTGTGTATCTAACCTAAGAAGCAGCCTCGCACACGTATTGTACATAGGCCTACTCTCGTGGGCTGTTGTATTTGAATTTGAGGACGGCTAGATGGTAGAGGTAGATGGTAGTGGGTAGTGTTCTTGTGTCAAAAAATGTAACTTATATGTTTCATTATTTAACCAGCCTAACAAATATCCTAATTTACAAATAATAATAATAATAATAATAATAATAATAATAATAATAAAATAACCCTGAAACTAAAAAAACTGAACTAAAACTAAGCAATATCAAAATAATAACGAATAAAAACTAGTAAATATGCCTATATAAAATTAAGTATTTTTTTTTTATTAAAACTGAATTTAAAAATAAAAAGTCAAAACAAAATAAAATAAAAACTAAAACTAATGAAAAATCCAAAGCAATTATAACCTTGCTATATTTATTGCGATATGAATATCATTTCACCAGATGACTTGACTAGCTCCATTTCTGTTTTCTAGAATTCATAATTTTAGACTTATTGTGATTATTTCATTGGACAGTGCATCTGCACAAAACATAATACACACAATACAAGCACATATAAATAGAGTAAAACCAAGACACAAATGAAATAGTGCTTTATGGTTGCCTGGAGATTAAATGCAAATAATTCTGTCACTGTACAATCTTCGTTGTCTAAAAAACTGAATACAATTAATCTTTGTTAAAGCTACAAACATTATAATTCCTTATACACAAATGGTTTAAACCTAAGTTTAAATACTTTCCCTCTGTTAAGGTTAAACTTCGTGATTACTCCACAATTTTTAGAGCACACATTTCAGATCCTGCAAAGTGACTATTGCAAATGCGCACTTTACTTTAACGATGTGTCGTGCAGCCCTAAACCATATCAGATATTAATATTGGATGTAGACTTTCTGAACTCCATAAACAAAAAAATGTTTATAAAGGATTCCTTTATTTAAGGTGACTTGGGGCCTACCATCAGTCTTCCAGGATCAACAGGACTGAGAGGTGAAACTGGACATCCTGGAAGTACAGGTTAGAAATTTATATATCATGGAATACAACGGACATCATCCAGGACTTGTATTGTACCTTTAATTACGCCTCTTATTTAATATATATCTGATAGGTGCGAAGGGACTCTATGGTATGCCTGGAGAAAGAGGAAGTTCAGGATTAGATGGAATTGAAGGGATGAAAGGCTACCAAGGTGAACCTGGGACAGTTGGACCACCAGGTACGACGCTTCTTCACTAATGTATTTTTATGTGATGACTTTTATGACTATTTTATGTTACTTTGAGAAAACCTTGCTTAGATTTTTAAAATGGGTTTGTAAGCTATAAGTTTCAATTAAAGGATGAAAAAGAGAATGTTGTAAGGATAGTAACACTTTTGCACAATGCTTAGATAAATTAGCATATTAGCTGCATTTTTTAACTACCATGTTAGCTAATGTTTTAGCATGTTGCTAGCCTGTCTGAAGCTATAGTTGCTCAGTTTTGCTTGTATTAGGTCAACTTGATATTTAAAGTTTGGTTTCAACCCAGAATCATTTAATTGTTTTAGAAAAATTGTTTTTAACTGGATCTTTTTTTCAGGCTCTGATGGACTACAGGGTTTTCCAGGAAGCCAAGGTCACAAGGGCAGGTCAGGAGACCCAGGACAGACAGGAACCACTGGAATCCAAGGCCAGCCAGGCCAAAAAGGTCTCTAGTTCTCATGATCCACTTTAATGAAATAGAAACAAGTCTGGTTTTGATTGATGGCATGTGTACTCATTAGCTTGAATCAGTTAATAAATGTTTATATAATGTCTCTTGTAGGATTTCCTGGTCTTAAAGGCATTTTTGGGTTGGATGGACTGAAAGGTCAAAAGGGTAACCAGGGTGTCCCAGGTAATTCTTTGGTTGCATTTGTTATCTATATACCCTACTCTTTTTACGAGAAGTGTCACGGGATTTTTAATGACCATGGAGAGTGGGCACCTTGATTTAACGTCTCATCCGAAAGACGGCACCCACTGACAGTATAGGGTCCCCTTCATTATACTAGGGCATTAGGACTCACACAGACCACAGGTTGAGCACCACCTGCTGGCCTCACTTACATTACTTTCAACAGCAACCTAGCTTTCCCATGTGGTCACCGTCTCCCATCCAGGTACTGATCAGGCTCAGCCCTGCTTAGCTTCAGTGAGTAACCGGTCTTGTGCTGCAGGGTGATATGGCTGTGACTAGCATAAGAAATGATCATAACATAAACCATTGTCTGCATATTACAGGGCTCGAAACTAACTTTTTTATTTGGTAGCACCGGTGCTCCCAACTTCAAAAATTTAGGAGCACCAGAAAAAATTTAGGAGCACCCACCAAAAATGATTGAGCACCGCTGCAAATTGTATTTTAAGGGACATATTGTATTTTAAAACAACATCAATTAGGACTAACAAAAACCAGAAACAACTATAATTAATGCTGAGATGACATTGATATTTGTGTGCAATAATTCCAAAATGTGTATGTCTAATAATTCTAGAATATTAATGATGATGAAAATGACAATAATAGTAACAATGAATTACATTTCTCATCATCATGCTGCCTTGAATGTGCTTGAATGTAGGTTATCTGCTATAAAAAGTCTGTTACTTTCTGAAAAATAAATGTATAGTTTGCATCAAACAAAAATGAAGCATTGCAGTAAGAAATATTTATTTTGTACTGCTAAACAGCATATATATGCATGTCAGTTTAATAAATAATATTTCAGCTGCAAAACAAACAAAAGATTATAATAAAATATTAAATTCAAGGCTGAAAGCTGCAAAACAGTCATCAGTAACTAAATAAAAAAATATATACATCTCATGAAAGAATAGGCAAAAGAAAGTAAGTAAAGTCTCACTTCTATCACTCTTTAAAAGTTTTGGTTTCAGTTTGTGTCAATTTAAATGTTCCGTCTGAGCTGATTTTCATTTTTCTGTGTTTGTGGAAAAGCAGGCGAGTCAGCCGACCCAATTTATGAGCAGGTTAAGCACCGGCGCAATACCGCTGTTTGTTATGAGACGCAGTTTCAGTGTAAACTTAGTAAAGGCGAGCTTCTTTGGCGATGATACAGTATTAGATTTGACTTTTAGCGGACATTTGAGCTGAACACGCAGTGAATGCAATGCATCGAGATTCGACCACCTTCTCCGAAAAGCACATACTCGATTGATCTCAGCTGGCGGATCAATATTCACCACATGTCATGATCGCTCTCATCTGCGTCTCAACTTTAGGTGGGGTTTGCACTTTGCAAACCTGTGTGCTTTAAGTTTTTACACTTTAGCCGTTTGCATTTCCCGTGGACATAAAAGCTCCCTCCCTGTCATCTAACAGTGGATAGCCTTGAGTGATTGACAGCTAATATGAACCAATATAGCGGCAGGGAAGAGCGATTTAGCACGTTTTTAAAAAAAATCAAAACAGGTCGCACTAATGCGCCCAAATATATTATGAGGTCGCATCGATTAATTTTCGGGCGCATATGCGACCAAAATGGTCGCAATTTCGAGCCCTGATATTAGTAATTCGTTGCTATGTTATGTCCCCTGCAAGGTACTGACAACTGGGGCCAACCAGGAAACCCAGGAACTAAAGGAGAGTTAGGAGAGACTGGCATCCCCAGCACAACAACTGGTGTCCCCGGGTCACTGGGACACAAGGGTACCACTGGAGATTCAGGTATATTGAAATTCATATCATTTTTCTTTGGATTAGTGCTGTTATTCATAAGGGATCACCACAGTGGAATGAACCGCCAACTTATCCAGCAAATGTTTTACACAGTGGATGCCCTTCCAGCTGCAACCCAGTACTGGGAAACACCCATACACACTTGCATTCACACTCTCACACTACAGACAATTTAGTTTCTTCAATTCACCTAAAGCGCATGTCTTCAGACTTGTGGGGGAAACCGGAGCACCCGGTGGAAACCCATACCAACACGGGCAGAACATGCAAACTCCACACAAAAATGCCAAGTGACTCAACTGGGACACAAACCAGTGACCTTCTTGCTGTGAGGTTGTGTTAACCACTGAGCTACCGTGCCGCCTGAAATTTATATTCATATAGTTATAGCATAGTTTTAGTTAGCTACACTGAAACTGGTGTCGTTACAGGAAATAAGGGTGAAATTGGGCAGCGAGGTGTACCGGGGCCTCAAGGTCAGCAAGGATTTTCTGATATAAAAGGAACGCAGGGCGACTATGGTTTTCCAGGCATAAAAGGAATACCAGGTAAAAGGCTGATCACTATGTTAAATTACTTTTTGAAAAGTTAGTTTTGAGGAAATGTCATCTTGTAATTTTCCTGTTGCCTTCATCCTGTAGGTTTTCCTGGTACCAGAGGAACCCCAGGGATCCCATCTCCCTTCGGAGCAAAAGGAGATAGAGGAAATGTTGGTGATTTCGGATTATTTGGAGAAAAAGGAGTCCAGGGTGACAGAGGAGAAAAGGGAAGTTCTGGGGAATCTGGAGTGTCAGGAAGAAAAGGTAGATGAGATGGAATAGGAATCAGGTGATGCTTACTGCAGCTATACAAAACTGAAACAGCTCACTGTTAATCATAATGAATATGAATACAAAAATACAGAAATAAATTGATCAAATGTTGTCCTTACAATAAAATGACATGATTTAATCCTCACGTTTGTTTTCAATGAACTGAAAAAGAACTGGAGTCATGTGCAATTTTTATTTTACATTTAATTAGGTGATAAAGGAGAGCCAGGGATGATGGGATTTCCAGGAAGACGTGGTTTTCAAGGTGACAGGGGCCCTTTTGGACCTAAAGGAGATACCGGACCCCCAGGTGATTAGTTAAAATCATTAAATAATTTGTCCGAACAACACCTAATCTAGAATAAAACATATAGCATTATTCCCAAAAACATTTTATTTAAATAAAATATTTGTGTTTTGGTATCCCAGTGTGGAAGATCTTGTATATGATATTTGTGAACCATTTTTGCTTATATATTTCATATTTTGTCAGTGTCTGGTATCTGACGGGCAGATTTCTTTTTAGTAAACAGATCTTAATAAGTTAGCTGATGCATATATATATATGCATATATACTATGTTGTGTATATATATATATATATATATATATATACAACAGTTCTGTCTGGTTCTCAAATCTGATTGGCTGATAGCCGTGCGATATTCTGCAATATCAGAACTCCTACAGCCTCTTTACCCTTTGTGTATTAGTCCGCCCACATAGTGTGTGTGTGTGTGTGTGTGTGTGTGTGTGTGTGTGTGTGTGTGTGTGTGTGTGTGTGTGTGTGTGTGTGTGTGTGTGTGTGTGTGTGTGTGTTAGTATAATAGGTATGACTGTCTATCAGAACACATATTTGTGTCTATTTTTATTTTTGCCCAGTTTTTGGGTTCATCTAATTGGTCAACTGCCTTTAAAATGACAATGATGAGTGGAGCTGCATGTAATAGTTTAAATTAATTTAGTTTCTTTTTTTTTTTTTGATTTGGCATCAAAACATAGTAAGACACTCCAAGATACACAAGTCGAATGGTCATGTGTGTCAGTCAACCTCATTTACTTATGGCCCGTTTCCAATGAGTGGTACAGTACGGTACGGGCCGGTACCGGTCACCTTTATCAAGCATACGACAGAAAGTTTCAGACAATGTAATTTTTACGCGAGGAAATGTCACAGTAAAGCCGTATGGGTCGTTCACATATCATATGAGAAGTACTTCTCACAAAACAAATGCTTTACACACATAAATACTACTGTACTGTACTACTGTAACATCTGCATATATGTTAAATAAATAATGCAACATATATGAACACAAACAAACCCTCACTCTCTGAAATGTTACCAAGTATAGAAAAACTACACACAGCATACATTTAGTCCTTATTTGAATTCAAAAACAACACAAAATATAGCCCACAGTCAAAGCAAACCTCTCATCTGTGTCTGTAATCTTCAGCAGCACATGTAACCTCTTGTTAGAAAGTAATTCCGTCATTCCCAGTTCATAATAGTCCAAAAGGCGATGATGAGCATGGCAGTTTGTTGTTGTTTTATGTTGCAGAAGCACCATTTGCTGCAGTTTTTCTGGCTTCTCCTTTGATTTTTCACGCTTCGCTCTCGCGTTTGTTTATTTCAGAAAGGATCGGATATTAGAAGTGCTGTAATGATTACGAGCACGTTATTAATATGAGCTCAAGACGTTTATCATTTCAAATGTAGATGCGCGGCAACCTCTCTGAAGAAAGTGAAACTGCGCGCACTTTTAGACGGCCTCGTAAAACAAAAACAGGACACGGCAGATTTCATTCTTCTTGGCTTTGTGGCTGTTCATCAAGATGACGACAAGGTTTGTTTGAGCTTGGATAGACCATGGCTTGTGATTATATGTATATATTATTACAGTGTAATGTCTCAGCTGTGTTTTAAAAAATGCCGCTTCCTTTGTTTTCATTCACCTACTTCTGCGAGCGACGTATTTCTGTAAACCAAAAGCGTTCAGCTATGCGTCTAGCTTTTTTCGTGCTAGGTACCTTTGCAAAGGGTCACCAAAAAGTGGTACAGTACGGTTTGCTTTTAGGTACCCTTTTACTAAGGAAACAGCCATAAAAGCGTACCAAATCGTACCGTTCCACTCAGTGGAAACAAGCCAGTAGAAAAACAATGGAACATTTGAAATGTTAGAGCATTCTGTGTGAAAGGCTTCTCAAGAGTTTTGAGAATTGATCTGAATGCTGACACCATGTCCTACAGTTGAACGGCTTTATGATTGAGTTTTGATTCATCATTTATTCTGCGTTAACATTGCTATTCTCCCATTTTGTATTGTAAATCAACTCTACATAAATGAGTGCCATTAGCCTGCACATCATCTATACTATGCCTTTGTTTTTCAGGTTTTCCTGGATTACCTGGGGCTAAAGGATATCCACCAGTTCCACAGAAACTTCCAGGGGAGCAAGGGCCGCCTGGTCAGATGGGTATTCAGGGACCATCGGGGCGCAATGGAAACCCAGGCCCTGCGGGACCTCCTGGTGATTCAGGTACAAAAATTCAAAGTGTCAATCTAGAACTTCTGCAATGAATATGACTTACCTTCTCTTCTTGTCCTGTTGCTGTCCCCCTGATTCCAGCTCCATCATGTAATTGGCTCTTATCTGTTTTTAGGATTTGTAGGTCCAAGTGGACACAAGGGGATGCCAGGTCTTCCTGGAATACCAGGAAGTCCAGGCTTCCGTGGAGAACCTGGATCAATGGGCCACTCTGGTCTGCAAGGCGAACAAGGTGAATGTTGTGCTTGTCTAAAAGTACTGTGAGGATTAAGAAATTCTGGGTTAGATTAGTGGATTAAAGATTGGGGGAAACTGGTTTATTTTAAATTTATTTCACATTTAAACTTTGTAACTGGAATCATTTTTTCATTTCATAATTTAGGAAAGTGTCACTAATTAAAACCTTTTCTTGGCTGCCAAAGTTATCAATTATTTAAGCCTATTTAAAATGATTTTATTAATTCCTTAAAGGATTAAGGGAAAAAAAAAATTGCAAGAACTTTGATCTGAGGTGAGTGACCATTTGTCCCAACTGTGCACCAGTAAACACATTAGAAGTGTTTCCAGATTTCCCATTTCTTTGAAACAGAGATGTTTACATCCTTATCTGGGATGCATCTGGAAAGTCTTCATAGCGCTTCACTTTTTTTCCTAATTTTTTATGTTACAGCTTTATTTATTTATTAAAATAAAAAAATCTGAAAAATCACATGTACATAAGTATTCACAGCCTTTGCTCAATACTTTGTTGATGCACCTTTGGCAGCAATCAACCCTGGGACCTTATATAGACAGGTGTGTGCCTTTTCAAATCATGTCCAATCAACTGAGGCCTACTCACACTAGGTACAGTTGCCTCGAACCGGGCCAAAGCACGCTTGTCCCCCCTCCCATGTCCCCCGACGGCCCTCGCTCACACCACAAACGGGCTTCGGCACGCTTACGTCATCGCTGCTGCGCTGTTCAATGAGAAGCACTCTCTCACTCAGCAGCACAGTGGAGATTTCTCTAGTTATATCGTTTCAGTCGTTTGATATGCCGTCAAATATTTCGCCAAACAGTCCTTAGGGATGCGGGGACACGCAGTCAGATATTTTGCCGAACAGATCCGCCACTTTTAAAGCTCTCGTGCTGCAGGAATGAGGAGGTCTGCTGAAGGCGCGCAGCTGTCGTGCAGTGATGGGTTTTTGCGTCTTTAATAAACTACGGCAGTTTGCGTTCACAGAAGAATACGAATTATTAATAAATCCATATGAAACAGTCCCTTAAAATTCACGTCTCGCTTTCAGTTTCGAGCTTTGGCGTGTTTTGCACTCACACACAAGCATACCGCGCCAAAGCCCAAGTGAACCGGGCTCAGGCACACCTCTTCCAACCGGGCCAGGGCCGGCCAAGTGAACCGTGCTTGAGCCCAATTCAGCGCACTCACACTTCTCAGACGATCCGGGAAACGGGACTGGGCACGGTACGGATGGCATAGTGTGAGTAGGCCCTGAATTTACCACAGGTGACTTCTAATTAGGCTGCTGAAACATCTAAAGAATGATCAGTGGAAACATAATAGAGCGTCACGGCAAAGGCTGGGAATACTTATGTGCATGTGATTTTTTTTATTTATTTATTTTTTTTAGAAATTTGCAACAATTTTTAATAAATATTTTTTCACATTGTCCTTATGGAGTTTTGAGAAAAAAAATTGAATCCATTTTGGAATAAGGCTATAACTTTAAAAATGTGGAAAAGTAAAGTGCTATGAATATTCCCGGATGCACTGTAAGTCTGTTAAAAGACACAGGGAGGAGAAAATATATTTTATCTGTGCAACATATGCACAGAGTCTCCAAACCCTTCACCACCAATATATGTATTTCTACAGTTAATCTTTCACCTAGAGATAAGATGTGCCCTCTATCATATACTCTTGCTCAGTCATATTCAGTTGGTCATATGATTTTAATTATGCACATTGAATCATGTGATGTTATTTCTGTTGCTGAGAAGGTACAATAACCACCTAAGAGTACAATGGCAAAGTTGTTTTTAACCATTGAGAAAAACATCATATGATACAAGTGATTTTGCATGACCAGAAACGTATATATGCTGAATACATACGATTGTTAAAAACCAAAGGGAAGCATTTCCCGTGAAAAAAGTTAGGAACTAATGGTAGAGCATAGGCCTCAAACTCAATTCGTGGAGGGCCGCAGGTTTGCTCAATTTAGCTCCAACCCTAATCGAACACAGCTGATCCAACTAATCAAGGTGTTCAAGACTACTAGAGACTACTATTAAGCAAGGGTGAGTTAGAGGTGGTTGGAGCTAAACTATGCAGAGCAGCGGCCCTCCAGGAATTGTGATTGAGACCATTGTAGTAGAGAAGTAACTAATATGAACAATAATATTTACATAATTAACTTAATATTAGCAACATTAAAGTCTTCGGGAACTCATTGGCTTGACTCATGTTTGGAAAACAGAGTAATGTTAATAATTTGCCACCACAGTGTTTGAAAACCTACAAACTGATTCAAAACCAGGCCAACTGATCTTCTTCAAGACAATTTCATGCTCCCAACTTTGTGTGAACAGTGGGGAAGACCCTTCCTGTTTCAGCATAACCAAGCACCAGTGTACAAAGCAATAACAAGCACAAGAAACATGGATAAATGAGTTTAATTTGGAGGAACTTGACTGGCCTGCATAGAGGCCTGATCTCAATCCGACTGAACATCTTTGGGTGAATTAGAGTAAAGACTGTGAGCCAGGTCATTTAATATCACTGCCTGATCTCACAAATGTGCATCTGAAAGAATGGTCAAAATTTTCCATAAACACACTCCTATACCTTGCAGAAAGCCTCTCCAAAAGGGTTCATGTGTGTGTAAAGGCAGATGCCCCAACACTTTTGCCAATATAGAGTACTAAAAGAAAGAACTGCAAATCATTTGATCGTGAATATCTGACTGCTCACATTATGAATTGATAATCAATCTGAATTCTCAGGGACTCGAGGACGACCTGGTATGCCCGGTCCTCTTGGAATGGCTGGCCGCAGTGTGAACGTTGGCTATCTGCTGGTGAAGCACAGTCAGTCTGAGGAGATCCCCATGTGTCCTCAGGGCATGTCCTTGTTATGGATGGGTTACAGTCTTCTGTACTTCGAGGGCCAGGAAAAGGCCCACAACCAAGACCTGGGTAAGTGCTGGACATCAATCACGAGATGTCAGTAAGAGATGCAGAACTGTAGAACCGAATGTTAATTTCAGATTAAATGCATATCATATATATCATTGTGTTTTCCACAAATATATTAATTAGGCAGAACTGTTTTCAACATGGAGAATGGTAATAAATGTTTCATGAGCAACATCTTACAATGGTTTCTGATGGATCATGATGCTGATCCTAAAGGTTTCTTTCCAAAACATCTTACTAACTCCTAGGGATGGCTGACGTAAAACCGACATTTCAACAGTGTCTAGATCCAGAAGAGCAAGTGTTTTGAAATAAGCACAGTACTATGGAACCAGATTAGTCTCAAAAGAAATTCACACAAAAGACACGATGTACACATGCGTAGCCAAATTCACGTGCATAAAACCAAATTAACGTGCGTAAAATATTTATTTATATTCACAAAAAAAATTCACATGCACAAATTAAAAATACATTTTCATAAAGTACGTTTCACAAATGCAAAACACCATTTGCAAATGTATAAGAGTGTACAAAAGGTTTTGAATGTTTAAAACTTGTGAGTTCATCCTGAATGAGAATGTGCAAATCCTCTTTCACGTACGACTCCCCCTGGATACGTGTGTGTGTATTTGTGAGACTTTCCTGCCAGAGTCAGGACTACTCGTACCTTTCAGCCAATCAGATGAGAGCTGTTTTCAATGAAACCAACTCTGCGCTTCTTTTGTGCAGACTGTTCCTCTCCAGCATGGCGAACGGAGAAAGCAGCAGTTGCACTTTTTTAAAATTTATTTATATATTTGACCATATCCTCACTCTTTTTATCCATTATTTTGCCGCAGCTCCGCTTTTCTTATTTATTGTCTCGCAGCCCTATGAGCAACATGTATCCTTCAGGGTAATCATAAGTATCATTCCGGCCAGGCCAGCATTGCAGTGCCATTGTGGTCCAGTGGTCAGCACGTTGGGTTACCATGCCCTTAGACCTGTGAATTTCTTTTGAGACTAATCTGGTTCCATACTGTACAGTATTAATGTTCAAACTATTTATAATGATTAAAATGGCTGACAGTAATAAATATTTTTAATAATAGGAATTATTAATCTTCCTCGTCATTATGGTGGTACTTGGAGACAGATTTTTTTTACTTAATGAAAAAAGTTTGAGAACCACTGATTTAAAGGAATAGTTCACCATAAAATGAATACTTACTCATACTCCAGTGCTTTTAAAGGCCCTGGTAAACTTTAAAAGAAATTGAAAATAGTACTGAAAGGACATCATTTCAAACAAAATCCTCTTTTTAGTTTGTTTTGGCTGGATTTTCTTCGAAATGAGCAAAAAGAAATTCAGTAAGGCTGATTGATTGAATGCTGCTTTGTATGGAAACAGAATACTGTCACTCAGTCTTTTTGCAGAACGAACAAGATTTTACGTATACCAGAGCCTTAAACCCTGAGTATCTTTTTTCTGTTTGAACACAAAAGAAGATAGTTTGAAGAATGTTGGAGATAGGGTTTTCTAGTGGGAAAAAAATGCCATGGATGTCAATGGCTACCAATCTCCAACATTCTTCATTTTTCAATACATTCTTTCATTCTTTCATTCTTTCATCTTCATTTTTAGGTGAACTGTCAATTTAAAATTGTATAAAATTCATTAATTTTCCTTCGGCTTAGTCCCTTTATTAATCAGGGGTTGCCACAGCGGAATGAACTGCCAACTTATCCAGCATATGTTTCACACAGCAGATACCCTTCCAGCTGCAACCCAGCACTGGGAAAAACCCATACACACTAATTCACACACATACACTGCGGATAATTTAGCTCAGGGTTGGTCACCCCTGTTTTAGCTTATCCAATTCAACTTTAGCATGTGTTTTTGGACTTGTAGGAGCACCCAGAGGAAACCCACACCAACACAGTGAGAACATGCAAATTCCACACAGAAATGCCAACTGACAAAGCCAGGACTCAAACCAGAGACCTTCTTGCTGTGAGATGGCAGTGCTAACCACTGAGCCACTCAAAAGAGTACAAATATAAACGTCCTCATATGATTCTGTTTTGTTCTGCAGGTCTAGCCGGATCATGCCTCCCCCGTTTTAACACCATGCCCTTTCTGTACTGTAATCCGGGAGACATATGCTACTACGCCAGCCGCAATGACAAATCCTATTGGCTGTCCACAACCCAGCCGATTCCCATGATGCCCGTAGAGGAGTCTGAAATAAAGCCGTACATCAGCCGCTGCTCTGTGTGTGAAGCTCCATCTGTGGCCATCGCCGTACACAGTCAAGATACAACCATTCCAAACTGCCCAGTCGGCTGGAGAAGCCTCTGGATTGGCTATTCCTTCCTCATGGTGAGACTTCAGTTCTAAAATTCCCCAACATACCCGCAGTGAATTTATTATCATTTTTCAAACAGGAGTTAATAACTTTAAAAGCATGACAAGTGGTGTACATCCCATAGTAGATGGAAGTCAAATGTTCTCTCACATTCCATGAAACTTTGCTTTGGCTTGATTTTGATTAAATAAAGTAATGCTTTACATGCATAGATTTTAATAATGGCCTTTTAAAATAGCATTATAAATCATTTTAAGCCTCTAATATAGTGTTTCCCATCCCTGTTCCTGGAGGCACACAAACATATTGTGGATGCCTCCCTTATCGGACCCATTAACTTCAGGTTATAGAGTCTCTTATGTTCTGATGAGTTGATTCAGGTGCATTTGGTTAGGGAGAGGTTGAAAATGTGTACTGTTGGTGTGCCTTCAGGAACAGGGATGGGAACATTGGAGGAAAGAGTTCTGAAAAGTCATTCTCGAGTAAAAGTACCATTACTTGCCTAAAAATGTAGTGTAAGTACAGTAAAAGTATCTGTAGTAAATACTACTCAAAGTATGAGTAAAATGTAGCCCTTTCAAAAGTACTCAAGAGTTGTAAGTAGTGAGTATTATGCTGTAAAAAGCTGATGCATTTACATTTAATTTGTGGATGTGTGTAAACGTAACATTCTGTAGTGCATTTAGTTATTGCCCAGCAGGCAGACGTCATAAGATGTTAGATTTAGGTTGTGATATCAGGTGACCAAAATCAGGGTTTCTGCTGGTTTCACTAAGTTAAATGTAAGACTTTAAGACATTTTTTGCTCAACAATGAATGAAATTTTAGACTAAAATTGCTAAATGCTAAAGAATTTTTCAAATGGCCCAGATGGAAAAAATCTTCATTTGCCTTATCAAAAAAAATAAAAAATTATTATAATTTAATGATACAATAATAAATTCATTTTAAAATATTTTATATTTTAGATATTTCTTAGCAAAATTGTTTAAATATTGTTTAAAAACAAGCAAGCTCTACTTGTATCTATTCACTTTTTTCAACATAAACTTTCTTTAATATAAAAAAATCATTAACAAATGTTTTAAAAGATTTTAAAAACTGTAATAAAGTAAATCTATGCATAACAATCTGTCCAGTGTCCTCAGCAGTAAATACATGGAGAACTTTTTAAACAAATGTTATTGTAAGGAAAATAATTAAACCATTATGATAAGTAGAGTTAAAAATGACCTCTTTTAATGAAAAGTTAAACGTTTTATTGAGATGGATTGTTTGTGATTGTGGGTTTTGGCCAGATTGGGTAGCAATACATTACCAAAGAAAAATTAAGACCTGTTTAAAAAAAGATTTAAGACCTACAACACAATATTTCAGTAGATTTAAGACTTTTTAGGCCTAAAATTTAGATTTTGAGATTAAAGACCTTTTAAGACTTTTTAAGACCCTGCAGAAACCCGAAAAAACCTATGTCTAGCCAACATCTAGGGACAGCGTTATTTTTACGTCCAATAACGTCAGACGACGTTGATTTTAGGTTGTGTTAGAAAGTGACCAAAATCCAAGGTCGAGCTGACATCTTAAAACAACTTCATATTGACATCGAATACTGACATTTATTCATCAGGTATGACAACTAAAATTCAACATCTGATAGACGTCATAGTGGTAACGTCCACACAACGTCAAGCTTTAATATTTGGTTGATTTCAGGTTGGACTTTGGACATTGACATCGGCCTGACGTTGGGTTCTGATGTCAACCCGATTTTCATTTCTAAACAAAATGCAATGTTTCCACTACGTTGGGGTACAACGTCAATCTGGCGTCATGTTGACGTCTTGTGCCTGCTGGCTGTTTAAGTCCATTTAGGTCATCATAAAGTAAACATCTGTCATTTTGTCATTAGTAACATGCATCTAAACAGTCTTTGAGTCAATGTGTGTAAAGGTTTTGGACATTTGAACACTTAATGCTTCCAAACAGTTTGCTGCAATTATAAATCCCCCATGTCTTTAGGTAGTTCATTATGATGCAATTTACCTTCTATCCGCAATTTGATTGAACAGGAATCACAGGACTGATTTTTCTAATCCCCATAGAGAAGAAAAAATAAAGTAGTGACTGCATGTTGAAGGAAAGTAGAGGAGGAAAAGTACAGATACAGCACTAAAAATGTACTCAAGGGAAAGTAAAAGTACACATTTATAAAACTACTTAGTAAATTACAATTCCTGAGAAAAACTACTCAATAACAGTAATTTGAGTATTTGTAATTTATTACTTCACACCACTGGTTGGGAAACACTGTATTATGGACTTAAAAAGCCATGACACCCTCCACTTTCGGTTAAAGTCTACTTCAGAATTTTTTCAAAAGATGCATGATAAATGGGCGTGGAGCTCCGCGAGCATCGGGCAGGAGTGGGCGTGGCCAGCAGGGGAGAAGGGGAGCGAACAACTGTTGTCAGTCGACTCACAAACTGAGACACAAACCGAGGAGACGCATGGGTTTATAGTTCACAAAGTTGAAATGCAAAGAAATAAACAGTAATTGAATGTCCTGCTACATTTGTTATTCGTAATTTCATATACACATAACCACAATTTATATCATTATAAAGATAAGTGTGTTCATGTAAACACTATAAATGAGGATTCTCGATCGATCCCCGGGTCTAAATTATAGATCTGAATGCCGACTCAGTGCAGCAGGTCTCATGACCTGTCTATTTTAACCATTAGTCCTGCTGGTAATCTGGAGGGTTTAGGCAAACACAGCAGCACGGCGATGTGTCTGAATGTGAACGAACTCCTGATAAAAGTCAACGTCCGCCATTCTTCAATTCTCGTACTGCTCTCCCGACAAAAATGCTTGCAGCACACACACAGCTTTGCTGTATGATCGGCCCTGACAGGATCGCGGGGGAAAACATGCAACAAACCTCGTGGATCATGGAAAAAAAGGCATATGAGCCTTCATGAACGGCTACGTGCCGTTGGTCTGTCTCCCAGCTTGCTTGAAACTGGCAGGTGTGCCTTCGGAAAGCACGTGCTCTCATGAATAATGAAGCAGCCGGCTCTTCTCATAGGATAAGAAAACTCCGCTATGAATAATAATGAGAAACCGATGCGTCATCATTGCACTTGCAGTACTGCTCTACATTTCTCTACACAAAAATCATTTTAAACCCGGAAGCTGAAATTACCTGACAAAAGCTCAAAATTATCCAGTTTTCCCCACAATTAAAGCTGAAAGGTGCAAACATTGACTTAACTGATGCTCAACACACACAAATCTGTTAATATAAAAAAAAAGTTCTCCAGGGTGTCCTGAACCTTTAAAATGCCTTATAATGCCATTTTAAAAGGCCATTATTTTGTTTACCCGGTCACTAGAATGGCATGTGGTGTCGCTAAGCACTTATGTGACCTGATCCAAGTTTAACTACTGGTCTTTTTTCAAAATTATGGTCTCACCCTCAAAATGAAAGTCCCCTCTACATCGTGTACTTCACAGCAGCACCTCTTTATTCCAGTCTGTCTTAAACCCATTAATTGTTTGATTTACCTTAAAGTACTTATTTGAGTTCAACCAAAAATTGTAATTATATTATTAATTACTCAAACCCCCCCAAGACTTTCTTTTATCTATGATTTTCCATTGAAATTCGAGAGCTTCCTCATCCTCCATAGACAGCAGCATTTTATTAGACTGCACAAAGCAACATTATAACAGAACCCTAATAAAATGGAGAAACTATGGCGTCACCTTGTAGTCGAATCCCTATAGGATTTTCCCATAGGCTTTTAGAAGATTGTGAATAATAAGCTTTGTGTTCAAACACTGTTCATTACACTTACACGTTTTGTCCAGCCAGATAATCCTCACACGAAAATATAACTTTAAGCACTTTTGGATCTTAAATGCAAACGCAAAAAACGAAAAGCTAACATTAGGCTACAAACAGACTACACTGCCTTCAGGGCGCGCGCATGTGCCATCAGCCCCACCTTGCTACAGACAGCTTTTCATGCATATTTTTAGAAATACGGTCCATGACAAAGAGTTAATCCCTGTGTTTATTATAATGCGCACTGTTATAAACAAATAAATACGCAAAAAAACGCATAGACCTACATGCTTTTTGGATTGTTTTTACGTGGGAAATACATCTGTTTTGCTTCACGGTTGTTGTAAAAGTTTTAAACTCTATGTATAAATTTGCCTACATGTTATTATCATAAGACATATTTAAATAAGTGTATCGCTTTGTGCATACAGCCCGCTTACCTTAACAGACGACAGAAATGAGGCGTGAGGGACAAGTCTACATGCCTGCAAGTTCCATCACTGATAGAAAACAACATTCAATATTGTTCAATATTCAATAGTGCTCAAATGTTAGCGGGAAATGGACATTTTTAAAATGTCAATAAGTGTCGAATGCTTCAGCTCATCTATGAACATGATTTCTGCAGGATTCCTATAGGATGTAATGAAGATCACAACTCCAATGATTCCACATTCGTCACGTCATCATTCAAACTACAGCTTTGTTTGTTGTGAAATCACTCCCTCTAGTGGTCAAATTGACGTGTGTGCCTTTAACAGCGTTTACCTCTTCCTGTCTCCCTCGCAGCACACAGCAGCTGGAGATGAAGGTGGAGGTCAGTCTCTGGCGTCTCCAGGCTCGTGTCTTGAGGATTTCCGCACCACCCCCTTCATCGAGTGCAACGGGGCCAAGGGAACGTGTCACTACTTCGCCAACAAGCACAGCTTCTGGCTGACGTCTATCGACGAGTCTTTCCAGAGCTCCCCTTCCTCTGAGACACTCAAAGCCGGTCAGCTCCTGTCCCGCATCAGCCGCTGCCAAGTGTGCATGAAGAACCTGTAGCCGGTGAACTTTTGACTACAGCAGCGGCTTCCACGGTTAACACCCGCTCAGTACTTCATTCCAAGTTAGGCTTTTGAAATTGCTTCATTTATTTAATGTACGCTCTCAGATTCACTCTTCACTACTGTGTGCCTTATGACTGAAGATACTATGAAAGCACAGCAGCCATGATATCCATCTTTTCTATATTTATGAAATGGTGCTTAATTTCTAACTTATTACCTCAGCATTATTATTATTATCATCTTACTATCTGTTATTGTTGTTAGCAACAGCATACAGCTGAACCAAAGAAGGCCATGCTAATGCTCCTCTTGACCCTGTCAGAGAGTCAAAACCAGTTTCATTGGTGTTGATTTACACTAAATACACATTCTTCTGGCTTTAACAAAAGCTGTTTGAACTTTTAGTGAAATCTGGACTTCATTTGTTGCTATTCTTATTTGGTGCAAACAGTATTTTCTGCTACGCCTAATGTAAATATGATCTATTTTTAAATATGTCTATTTTTAAAATACTCAAACCCAGTCATTTGATTGATTCAGTTCTGGTTTTCATTCAAATTTTGAGCGTGAATCAAATTATGCTGAGTTCAGACTGCACAATTTTCAAAGTAGTTGCATCACAGATGCTTTCACACAGCTTGACTATCTGGGGTAGCGTTCTGTCACTGCTGCTATGTTTACACCAGGGTGGCCAATCCTGTTCCTGGAGAGCCACCTTCCTGCAGATTTCAGTTGCTACCCATATCAAACACACCTGAACCAATTAATTAGGACCTGAACACCACGTGATAATTACAGGCAGGTGTGTTTATTATGGGTTGCAACTAAAATCTGCAGGAAGGTGGCTCTCCAGGAACAGGATTGGTCACCCCTGGTTTACACTGTAGGATGGATCGGCAACAGGGGGTTTTATCTTGCATGACTTCACGATAGGAAGAATCGCTGACAACGTTGTCTCGGTCCGCAAACTACATCTCAACCAAACACATAAGAGAAGTGATGTGGAAACAACACAAGGTCACATAGTATATATTCTGCAAATTAACTACACTGTAAAAAAATCCATCATTTTACAGTTTATTGCCGGCAGCTGAGGTGCCGGAAAATAACGGCTGTTAAATCACAGAAATTTACCAAAAAATAGCAAACATTAAATTAGAGAAATTTCATTAAATTTAAATTTCTGGTAAGTTTCTGTAATTCAACCTGTAATTTAACAGCTGTTATTTTACTTTTTTTTCCCGGCACCCCAGCTGCTGAAAACAAAGCGTAAAATTATGGATTTTTTTTACAATGTACACACTGAGAAAGAAGCCTTTAGTGGGGTAGAAAATGTACTTATTTTGCTCACCTGGCTTTTGAAAGAAAATGTCAGTTTTTCCTAAACTTTTTTTTCTTTTTCAACCTGATTGTGATTGTTCGCTCAGATGAAAAGTCAAACACTTTTTCTCCTGTCAAATTTACACTAGTCTTTCCTTCATTTCTTGGCTCTAAATAGACTGAAAAACCCTTTTTTTAACTTCCTCTCCATCCTCTCGCTGGCCTGCAGATATCCATACTAGTGGATGCTGCTCTCTGATTGGCTGTAGATGATCGCCAATGTTATTTTCAATCAGAACACATTTCATACAGCATGATTGGAATCACCTACAGATCCAGATATTTAGTAGCATGATAAAAATCTGATAGGTGTCAGCGACTTACTTAGATGGCGTCTTTGATAGTTCACTGTGTGATTGTAACTCACATGAACAAACATCGATTTGCCTGTGATTAAGGCATTTGTCTGCGATTTCTAAAAACTTGGCGGTCTAATCGGGGCTAAAATCATGCAGTCTGAACTCGACATTAAATTCACATCCTTAAAAACAGCCTTGATGTCTGTTAGGATCTTAAAGGGACAGTTCAACCAAAAATGAACATTTCTGATTATTTTCTCAGTGAATCCTCAGACAGTGTTGATTTTCTTTCAAGTAAAACATTTAGGATTTTTTTTTACTGATTGTTGTTTTTAAATTTGATTTTCACTAAAAACATGCTCCATGGCCATTCAAAATGTGAATTAACTGCTTTTGGCACTTTGAGGTCCAAAATTTGTATTCACTTTTGACTCTCAAAGTGCCAAAAGCAGTTAAATCACATGGAGGTAAACAAATACATCCAGACAAAAAATGCATACCTAAGATTTCTGATAAGGACTAATGAAGTGAGATGATCAGTTTTTACATTATTGTTTCCATTTTTATGGTGAACTGTGCCTTTAACAATCTGGCTGTGTGCTTTAACCTCTATATAAATATTTATAATTTCATCACACTAACACCATCTACTGCTGCCTGTACATTGCTTTTGCTTTGTTTGTCCTTCTTCAAATCACTCAGTTATTTTCAGCACGACCCTTTTATCATGTATTATCATCACTATTCCAGTGTTTTAATTTTCAAAAGGTCATGAACTCTCAGACTTGAAGCTTTTTATTTTACTAGAGTTTGGTCCGGTCCGCAACCTTGCCTTGTTGTTCCACCAAATTGCACTGATGTTTCTATGAGGTTTACGTGTGGTTGGAAGGCTCAATCTTTGACCCGCTTCCACCAGAAGTGCCCTTATTTTCCACTGAGCCTGTAAACAATGACTAAACCCAACGTGGCTCACCTAAAAGTGTTCAAGTTATTTTGGACTTTGAGCAGCTTTGGCCGTTTTCAGTGCACATTGCACAAGTGTTACTGTCTGAAGCCCATAAACCACTCACCGTGTGTGGGAAAAGAACCAAACGAGATTCAAAAGATGTTTTGAAACAGTCACTGCTTTTTTCTTTATCAAATGTACTTAAAATGTAACAGTGGAATATTTGAAGACATTGATTTTGAATTAAAGTGTTATTGAATAAAAGAACAATAAATGCTTTTTGTTTGTTAGATTAGTGTCATCTCTTATTTGAATGCAAAGAAAGTGAACTCTACGCTTACACTTAGGACGAATACATACACTACCTGACAAAAGTCTTGTCGCCTGTGCAAGTTTCAGGAACAACAAATAATTACTTGACTTCTAGTTGACCATTACATTACAAATCACAGGAGAGGGCAAATTCTTCAGCAGGATAGCGCAGAAAAGCAAAGAAGGACAAAGTACTCCAGGATTGGCCAGTCCAGTCACCAGACATGAACATTATTGAGCATGTCTGGGGTAAGATGGAGGTGGCATTGAAGATGAATTCAAAGACTCTTGATGAACTCTGGAATTCCTGCAAGAACGCTTTCTTTGCCATTCCAGATGACTTTATTAATAAGTGATGAGTCATTACAGAGATGGATGGATGCAGTCGTCCTAGCTCATGGGAGTCATACACAATATTCATTCTGTCTCCACTGCACCATGACTTTATATTCTATACATTATTTCTGTTCAGTGACAAGACTTTTGTTTAAGCAAAGTCAGACCTTACTGTCCTAATTAAATAATTAATAAAAACATGATCATATTTTATTTTGGTAAAATAAGCGTAATCTAGAGGCATTTGACTTTTATATAAACCATTTCTGAGGCATGGGCCGGTATAAGATTCTGACGGTATGATATCCTTGGATAAAAATATCACGGTTTCACAGTATTGTGCTCACTACTTTAAAATATATTCTTTTTAAATGTCTGGGTAAAAAAACAAAAACTTTTCCCCCTTTGAAACAACATATTCTATAATTTTTTTAAGATATTTATAATAGTTTGGCACAGTAAACAGGTCAGCCTAAAAAAACTCAAAAGATTATTTGACTTCTGTCTTCATTTGTTTCAAAAACAGATTTCTTGACAATTTAAAACACTATTTTTGAATATTTTTTTTCTGCTGGAGAAACTGTTGTCCTAAAAAAAAAGCAAATAAAAAAAATCTTACACATACCTAAAGAACGGTATTACAGAAAATTCATTGTTTTAAAACCTTGACTCTTTCAAACCATAGTTTACCTTGAAAACTGTTACCGTCATGCCTACTTCTGATACCAAATCTTCAAAAAAAAGTCAAGTTATTACTTGTTGTTCCTAAAACTTGGAAAGGCAACAAGACTTTTGTGAGGTGGTGTATATAAATATGGGTTATAAGCAGGGCCAGACGGAATCTGCGGATGTTTTTTTGCCATTTCTGCAGAGAAGTTTGGTAAAATCTGTGGATTTCTGCAGAATTATTTTGGAAGTATTATAACTAAAACCTTAATGTATGAAATAAAAAAGTAATACCTTTTTAACTTTAATGTTTAAAATGCAAATCCAATTATATTCACTTCACTGGGTAAACAAAACAAGCCACTTGTGTAATATATCTACTAAAAGACAGAAAATATTACTGTACAAACTGCATTGTGCATAAATCAGATGAGCATTTTCATATTAGTCAATAAGATTACTGTAATTTATTTAAAAACTGAATAAATATATATTTACACACATTTACTCAAGTAAATAAACAAAATTAATGATGGGCTAAAAATCTGCAGAAATCTGTGCGCGCAGATTCCATGTGGGCCAAGTTATAAGATACTTAAAAGCATTTTAGAAAATTGGATTAACCTAAACCTTTAAACAATGGTGTACTTAGGTTCACACACCAAACAGACTAAGCACTTTCTTATCATTTTAAGAGTGTTTATTTTTCTGAAATTAGATTAAGTGAGGCTGTATCAGAAAATATATTTAAACAAAATAGAATGTAGATATAATTTCAATAAAAAAATACACAACAGAGACCATGATCATTTGATTCTAATAATGCAAAGAAGCTAAAATTTCAAATTAAGCCAAAACAAAAAATATATATATAATAATTACAAACAAAAATAACAGCGTATTGAAAATGATTGACAAGTGCTTAAAGATGATTTAATTCCTTGCAAAAACCTTTGGTTTTAATACTGCTTTGAAAAGGAAAAACAAACAGCACATCGTAGTAAATGAACTCTAGTATAGTGGCGTTTAGCAGTGCTGTGATTTACATCCATTGGCCCCGATTATCAACACAATCTCCTCCTATGCACAGCAGCCAGCTTTAGTCCTTCTCACCTCTAGTGGCGTCTCCAGGTCTACAGTGGCTTCACCCTCGCTCCTCTTCTTCAGAATGGATGGCAGTACTAAATCAAATAAGGTCTCGAACAAAGCGTCCACGTTGTAACCTGTTTTAGCGCTGGTCTCGAAGCACATCCTCTCGGCGGGCAGGCAGGTCTTCTCGTCCAGGCCTTTGTATCGGAGAACGCGGGCGTACAGAGCCACAGCGTCCTCTCTGCTCACCTGTTTGTGCTGGACAGGGCTGGCAGGAGGAGTCGGGCAGGAGGCTACAGGCTGCGGGTCGCTCTCACTCTCGCTGTCAGGCTCTTGAGCGAACGGGTCGGTCAGGTCTGCTTTGTTCCCCACAAGGGCGAAGATGCAGTCTGCGTTGGCAGTGTCAGTCAAGGACAGGAAGCGGTTCTCCAGCTCCGCCAGGCTCTGCCAGTTAGTGACATCATATGTTAGGATGACAGCAGCTGCGCCACGGCAGTACATGGAGCCCAGACCGTGAAACTGCTCTCGACCTGCAGAACAAACACAACAACAGCGGCAAAATTTATATTCAAGAGCACACACACACACACAAGCGCATTCATTTTTCATGACGTTGCTTCAAATGAATGCTATTAGAACTTTTTATACTTCAAACTATCTTGGACAAATTGTATCATGATTTACAAGTATTATTGAGCAGCACAACCATTTCACATTGATGATGATAATAATAATAAGAAATGTTTATTGAGCATTGAATCCGCATACATGAGAGATTTCTGAAAGGAAGATTGAAGTGAAGATGCCAAGAGCAACTGATTCTTATAAATACCAAAATACAAATAAAAACATTTTAAAAACAGATTTTTTAAATCAATATAAAATATTTTATACAATAAAACACAGGCTGCGTCCGAAACCGCATACTTCCATACTATATAGTACGCTAAAATCAGTATGCGAGCCGAGTAGTATGTCCGAATTCATAGAATTCGAAAATCAGTAGGCGAGAAGTACCCGGATGACTTACTACTTCCGGCGAGATTCTGAAGTGCGCAGCCCATGCACGCTGCGCTATCCCATAATGCCCCATGAGAGAATTCATGAATGGAAGTGAGGCGACACAACTGAGGCAGGTAGGTCACGTGACCATGACAAAATGTCGGATGTAGTACGTCAGAGTCCGAATTCCATTCATACTTTTCACATTCATACTGTATAGAATGTACTTTTCTAACGGCCGAGTAGTACGTTTAAATTCAAATGCAGTACCTACTGAGTAGTAGGCGGTTTCGGACGCAGCCACAGTATCCTATAAAAAAAATAGTTTTTTCAATGTTTTGCATCATCATTACTGCTTAACTGTAATATAAGTAATGCAAAAAAAAAAAAAAACTGAAGGAGAGCAGATAGACTAGCGATGCCCTGTGACAGGCTAGTACTGTAGATAGCTGGACAATGACTAAAATAAATATTTATCACGTTTTAAGGCATCTCATATTTTGATAACGATAAATCTCACAGGTAAAAGTACCATGTGGTTAAACATAGTTCAGAATACATGAACATGTCAATACAGTGTGTTGTAAAGGTTTCATGTTGTTTAACATAATTATGAATCAGTAAACTTTGTAAATAAACACTGTTATAATGTCTGAGATCTCAAAGCTGCTTACTCAAACTGTCCTCTATATTATTTAAGGTAATATACACTGACCAAATGACTCCATGGCAGTGACTCACTCATTACCACGTTTACTGAATGGAGTACTGAAGTGCAGTATTCCATTTAAACATGAAAAATTACAGTCATATTAAACAAAAAAAAAAGATCATTTTCTCACCCTCATGTTCCCTTTAGCATATTCACTAGTGTAAAATTTGTTTTGCCATATTTTCACAGAGAAACTTTGATATCTGCTTGTTAAATCATGATATATGGAATACTGTTTCCAGGTCCAAGCTGCTACTCGTTTGAATCATCATATGACCACTTTTCAGTCATATCACACATTCAAATTAATTTTATATGTAATCATGGTGTAATAGTTTCTGGACTTGCTGCATCACAGACAACAATATTTGAACAATTTATAAAAAATGAATCACTTTCTGCCCATTTGATATCTGACGTTTATTATTACCATTTGTCTCCTTATACAGTTTGGTAGAGAGCTTGAACCCGGAAGCCTGACTACTGAATTGAAAACTTTTTCTGTAATTCAATGCAAACTTACACACTCACTCACTCACTCACTCACATACATACACACATACACACATTTATACTTATATTTATTATATTTAATATATTTATTTATACAACAGTTCTGTCTGGTTCTCGAATCTGATTGGCTGATAGCAGTGATATATTTAAGTAATATCAGCACCCATACAGTATTACTCCGCCCACAATCAGCCAGCAAAAAGCAGACACTACAGATCTAAAGTTTAAAAGATGCTTGCTCAGCTGTTTAACTGTCAGCTTATGATTTGAATCCAACGCGGAAGAAAGTAGTTCCTCATACAACTACAACTACATATTTTTGAGACTCTTCATGTTTGAGTTTGTTTTTCTATACACAATTATGCCATCAAACTGTTGTATAAACGCAATATCACATGAGTAGCAGTGCGATATGTCTGTATATCAGCACTGGTGGGAGGTGTGCGTTGGCAGAGTGCCTTAGTGCTCCCATAAAAGGTACTTACGCCATATATGCAATTTGTCTATGTAAATCCTTATTAGCATAACTTTAAATTCAACTGAAAAGCCACTGAAATCTACACTGTAAACAAAGACTTAACTTTAGTTGAATCAACTTAATTTTAGTAATCTCAACTTACTTTGATCAAAAAAAGTTGTTAAATACAAAAAAAAAATCAGTAAAGACTTCTTGGCATTACTAGTGTGTAAAGTCTGGCAAAAAGTCTACTTTTTGTATACATGTATAAAAAATGTCACACCACCACAAAGCATTGCTTTAATTAGAATAAAACCTATTTTTAACTTAATACTTTACTAAATTTCCAAGTTTAAAAATAAAGAATATTCAGGATACTGGTTACATTTTCACAAAATTTAGTGTGCTGTTTGTCATAAAAAGGTTTTAAAAACGTTTAAATATAACAAAAAATGGCTGATGGAGATTTCCTGTGCAAAGTTCAGTAAAGTCAAACAAAAAAACAAACCTAAATTGCTCAGAGGAGCCAATTTTTTTTTTTTTATCTACCTAAAAAAAACTTTCACTTTCTCCTTTTAAAAGAAAGCCAAAGATTGTTAGCCTTGATATTGAGAGCATAAGAGCTCAGATACAAGAGCTCATTGTTGTCGAAATATGTTTCGCAGCTAACTGTGTGACTGAAGGATGTGAGAGAGAGCTTTGTCTCTTATTCTTACGCATCACATCATGCAGCAAAAATACAAAACATTAAAACATTTGATGCAAACTACACCTCTACTTACATCCTATTACAATACATTTGTTATAAAATATAAAAAGTTCATAGACCGAATTATCAAGCAATTTAGTGTACATTACCAAAGAGGAAATATATTTATTGACCATGAGGTGTAAATTTCACAAATTCATTTCATCTTTATTTCTATAGCGCTTTTACAGTGTAGACTGTGTCAAAGCAGCTTAACACAAAAGTTCTAGTAAACTGAAACTGTGACAAATTAAATCTGTCTCTGTAGTGAAACTAAGCTGTAAAAATGACTTCCAGAGACATTTGTGATGCATGAATTCATTCAAGAATCTCTACATGTATGTAAGTCAGATGCTTCAGTCAAAACAGCACATTCAAAAAAGACTTTATCCATTCATGAAGCAATTTAAACCTTGCCATTGCTAACATCTGCTCTATTGCGCAACAATGGACAATCAGACATGATGTAATAGAGAGGAAGTTGGCTTTATCATCATCATCATCATCATCAACAACTGATGAAAGTAAAATGTGTCAAAGTTCATTAGGTGAACTTTCCTAATTATTTCAGTCTTATGAAAATAGTAACAGTGCTCGGGATAAATGAAAATGAATATTTGTTAATCAATTTCTTAGTGAATATAGACCCCATATTTTGTTGCATTCAAACAAAAAGTTTTATTAAACAGTTATATTCATTCTGTGTGGTCGATTATATTAAGCAAATAGGTTAATAGGATGAAAATAAATACTACAAAAACTAAGCCAATTAAATGGTTCTCGGGCTTTTATTGTTTTTATTAAAATTACACTGAAATATCACAAATGATCCAAGTCGGCTATATAAATTTAAATGCACCATTTTAATGTTTTTTTTTTTATGGTTTTTAATGTTTTATGTATACACATACAAAACATTAAAACTGTGTAACTTGATGTTATTTATACAGCCAAAAGATAACTTGTCAATAACTGAGATCTATAGAATTTTATTATATATATATATATATATATATATATATATATATATATATATATATATATATATATATATATATATTTTTTTTTTTTTTTTTTTTATTATTTTTTTAAAATACAAAATAGGTCACGATATTGAAAAACTCTAACATTGCAATATTTTTTTTTTATTTTACGATATACATGTATTGATATGAATACAATTTCACCATATGATTAATATCTCTATTTAGAGAGAATTTATACTGTTAGATTGATTAGGATGATTCTGCAGTAGGAGTGAAGCTCCATAAAATCTAATAAACCATCTATACAATTTTTGGGGTCCCCTGGCACGTTTTCGTTGTTGTCTGTGCTACTTGCAGTGCATTTCTGTATTTGCATATGTTGTATTTTCATGCACGTTTAGTCAGTGATTGATCAATCTATGAGATTGATCAAGGTTTAATATTTGCATCTCCATAAAATCAAATAAACAATCTATAATCTTTTTGGGGTCCCCTGACAGATTTTCGTAGTGGTCTGTGCTATCTGCATTTCTGTATTTGCATGTGTTTGGAGTATTTTCATCCGAAACATTCTATATGAAAAAATATAAATTGATACAAGTTGTTTTATCATGTCCCAAGTTTAACAGGTTTCAGGTGCGGTAATTGAATGATAAAAATATAAATAATTCAATAAAATGAACCATAGTTAAGGTCACTAATGGTACAATTTCTTTTACCCTTATGCTTTTAAAAGTCATTATATATTAACAGGCATTAAAAAAAAAAAACACATGCAAAAAACCCATTTGAATACAAACTCAACAATGCATATCCTGCAATGTGACTACTGTGAATGATCACATTGCGATATCGAATCTGAAACAATATAAATTATGAAGCCGTAATACTGATCTTGATAGCTGTTATACAACACAAAAACAGCGTGAATAAACATGATCATAAAAAACAGACAAACTGCACTGTAAAAAAAACTTGCTGATGCTGACTTAATTTTTTTGTTCATATTTTTTTACTTTAGTTCATATAGTTTGTATAATATTAACTTTCCTAACTTTTAAGATATTAAGTCAAATTTTGTATGACTTAAATTTAGCTGAAAACTGATTAAATTATTAAAGTACATTAAATCTAAATAAATAAAATATGTGTCGTCTTGACTTTTTGTCCTTTTTTACAGCGTATTTGAGATCGCCCTCAAATAATATGCTATGGCACTTATTGATAAATGTATGCATTTATGTTTTAATATGTTTTTATAGGGTGTGTATGATATAATGTAGAATCCAAGGCAAAATAATAATGACAGATGTGCAAATAAACATTTCTGAAAAAAATTTTATAAAAGCTTTTGATACATTTTAACATTATTTTTCTAAAATCAGATTTAATATGAATGAAATAAGCATTAATTTCGCTCATATTAAGATACTCTTCCTATTTATTAATTACTTGACTACTTTCAAATCAAAATAAAGTCATGTTAATGAGTAAAATAAATGAGTCATTCTTACACATTCAGGAAAGAAAGAAATTACTTTAAACTTTCCTAACTTAATAGTGAACATCCTCCATCTGTCCCAGACCCCCATCCCTGAGAAACAACTGTGCGAATGACCAGGAAAACCTTTTCCACACACTCATCTGACTAGCATGCAAGCATGTGACTTTTTTCCCCTGATAAGAGACCACAAACAGCCCTACACGGGGTCATCTGTCATCTGAACCAAATCAAATTCCACAGGAAATGACAGTAGAAAAACATGTTCTTTATACATTAGATAGATAGATAGATAGATAGATAGATAGATAGATAGATAGATAGATAGATAGATAGATAGATAGATAGATAGATAGATAGATATTGTAAAACCTTAAATGTTGTTACATTCACCTAAAAATAACAAATCTTTCATTTTTGTGTGCACTTTCATCTTTTTTGACTAATTATTATACAAGAGTCCTGAAGATTGTTAAATATTTGCCCTAATGGGTGAAGTCCTCAAACATTGACCAAAGACTTAATTTCATGTTTACTCATTTGCAAAACTGAGGTGAAATGTGCATAAGCTAAACTCACTTTACTCACGTGACATTCTGCTAAAATGTTACATAAATCTGTATATTTCTGAGGTAACGTCTGAAACCAGCTCTCAAATACAATCTGAAAAAGGAACAAAAAGTGCTGACATTCACACAAAAAGAGGCCACCGTTGAGAAAGCAGCTTTGAGTTAGAAATCAACAAATAACGTTACAAACAAAAAATGGAAACAAAGACAAAACATTAGTAACAAAACAAAGATCTGCTTCAGACTTTATAACAGTGTGTTTATTTATAAAGTTTGCTGATTCGGATTTATTGTAAACAACGCGAAACAATAATACACTGTAATGATATGTTCGTGTATTCTGAAGTGGCCCATGTTTAACCAAATGAAGTGGATAATAAGCATACCTGCAGTATCCCATATGGAAATGTTGTAGGGACCCCACTGTTTGAGGAAAAACGCCCCTCCGACGGTGCTTATCGTGTCCTTAAACTTCCTCTCCGTGTATCTGTGGAGGAGAGAAGTCTTTCCAACGTTCATGTCCCCCAAAATGACGACTTTCACGTCGGGTTTCTTGGTCCTTGTGGCTTGACGCATGTCTCCAAACACATGCCACTCATGCAGACTCAACTCTCACAGGTAAACTCACCACATAAACAATTCAGGGACGACTTTCGGTCCCCGAGTTTCAAACTGCATTGTCTTGTTACCTCCAGCTTGACGTCGTCGGTACAAGGTTTGGCGAAATAAATCCCATTTCTGAGGGCAATTCGACACCGAGCTTTCCCCTAATAAAGTCAGCAACGACGCTGACTTTCTAACTACAGAACTTTCAAGATGGGTTTAACGGTAGAGCAGTTTGATTCGTCACCGAATCGTTCATCTGATTCGAATCTTTTCTGTGAGTTGACCAGAAAGATTCATTCAAGACTCGCAGTAAATCCGTGCACGAATTTGCAAGCAAACAAATAATCAGTTCGGTATTTGAATATTTTTTTTTTTGTTTTGTTTAATATTAATGTGAATTTTATTTGCAGGAGTAGCTATACTTTAGCAATATGATATCAGGGATGGGCTGGGTAGTCGAGGGCCATTGTCCTGCAGAGTTTTGCTCCAATCTCTAATCAAACACACCTGAAAAGCTAATCAGTGTCTTCAGAATCACTGGAAAGCTACATGTGTGTTCAAATGAATGAATGAATGGGTAATTAAACAAACAATAAATAGATAAAACAAACAAATAAATAAATAATAAAGCATCCACTTCCTTTTCATGTTGAAAAAGCAAAGCCAAAAGTCCTCAACTTCTGAATCTAATTCAATTTATGTTTATTTCTATAGCGCTTTTATAACGTTTGTGTCAAAGAAGCTTAGAAGTTCTAGTAAATTGAAACGGTGTCAGTCCAGTTTTCAGAGAGAAGTTCAGTGTGGTTTAAATTTCACTGCAGAAAGTCCAAACACTGAAGAGCAAATCTCGATGCGCAGCTCCACAAGTCCCAAACAAAGCAAGCCAGTTAGGACAGGGGTGAGGAACAAAACTTCCACAAAGTGAAGGAAAAAAAAAAAAAACCTTGAGAGAAGCCAGGCTGTTGGGCATGACCATTTATCCTCTGGATCAAGTCTGCACTGTTGTAATGGCACCTCAGTTTTGTACTGCATCAAATAACTAATAAACCTTATACAAGATTTTATAAATTGTCTTTGGTGAAAATGTTTTTCAAGAGTGATTTTATAATTGTTTTTTAAATTATTTTGCCTCATGTTTATTTACACAGACAGGGTTCTCTTATAAGTTAATCAGCCACTGCATGTGATCATATTACAATATTTTGGCTTCATATTAAACCTGGGCCTGCAAATGAAGAATTTGTTATCTTATTTTATTAAATTGTAGACTTACTCATTTGTTCCCTCATATCAGCTATCGTAGATTTAAAATTAAGAATTTATTTATTAGTTTAGTATAGCATGGCAATAGTTTGTTGACTTATTCCAGTTTGTTTAAAACAAGTTATTGCAATGTTGCTTCTGTTGTGCATGTTACGTAGGCCTACATTAAAGGAATGGATTAGTAAAAGTGCTTTTGTAATAAGTTGTGGGAGTAAATTTCCTGCACGTATTTTGACAATGCTAAGGCAGTGATTTTTTACGAAAGGCTATAATTGTGTGGCGTTTGCACGCATGGCAGTAAACATTTTTAATATCCTTTATTCATAAATATTAAGTTTGCTGATTAAATGTTTACATCTGCAATAGTTGTTGTACTTATCACATTGATAGTCCAACTTTGCATATTCTAATGACACTTAACTGAACATGTACACACATCTATGTAGGGTTGCTCAAATCAGGATTTTTGCAGCCGATACCAAATGCCGATTCCTTGTCATGGTGATTTAGAGTACCAATTCTGATGCTTTAAGCTTTATAATGCATAAAGCACATTTTCCTCTTAGTGTGCTACTTTAATGGAGATCTCTCCTTACCCAAGAGAATAAATGAAGGATGCTGCATATCACTTCATAACTATTTAGGTGTGAACATATCATGGTCAGAAGTAGCTTTAAAGAAAATAATAGATAGCACAGTTAAAAAAATGTTAAAAATGTTAAAAAAGTTAAAAAATGGTCAAAGAGAAATGACAAACAATGCAGTTTGTAAACATTGTCTCAATCAAGAAAACGTTTGGAGCACATTTGATTCATAAGAAGTTAAAATGTAAACCTAAATCCATTACTTCTTTACTAAAAGGAAATAGGTCTACAAACTGTTTATTACAATAAGTGAACTTGTAATATTGTCAAAAACACATAACTTTCAGTTATTATATGTAAAAGGGCCTAAATACATGCAAGGTCATTGAATATTTTGCTTATGTCCAAGTAACACAAACACTTGCAATCGGTTTATGAGATTGGCCACTTCAGCGAGTACTTTAAATGTTATTATCGGCCAATACTGATCTCAGGCCGATTAAACGGAGCATCCCTAATACTATACTATAATTCAATTCATCTTTAGTTTTATATAGCGCTTTTACAATGTAGATTGTGTCAAAGCAGCTTAACATAGAAGTTCTAGTAAATTGAAACTGTGTCAGTCTAGTTTTCAGAGTTAAAGTTCAGTTTAGTTTAGCCCAGTGTGGATTAATTTTCTCTGCAGAAAGTCCAAACACTGAAGAGCAAATCTATCGATTAGCAGCTCTACAAGCTCCACAAGTCTACAGGTTACATGTGAAATAATAACTTTAACTGTTATAAGCCATTAGTTACTAGTTAATTAAAGTTAGTAATAATAAAGTTATGGTAACTAATAACCTTCCTATTACTATTTCCTTCCAAAGGCTTTTGGCGCATCGCTATTTATACGGCTCTTTGAAGTGGGCTGTTCACAAGCGCCGATTCTCAAAATGATTCAGACTTGTCGCTGGACAGTTGCGGGCGGGGTAAAATTAACTTCACCACCAACGTCACAGGAAGTAAACAGAAGGCGGAGTTACATAAATGTTGCTGTTTTAATACCTACATTCCATACAGCTGGAGATAAAACGCCTTTAATTCAGTTTATTTCATGTCACTTATGTGTCGGATTTGCTTATGTCATCACGCATAAGCGGCAGAGCAGAGCGTCAGCGGAAGTGTACTGAACAGAGCGAGGACACTTCTTCTGTCTCTGAACGAGTGAACTCGTGTAACAGATTTATAACCTGAATAAATACTGAACTTTGTTCCTGTTTCTGACTGGACACAGCAGCTAATCTCGGCGCAAAGCTCCCTCTTTGTCTCTGCCTGCGCGAGCTGTGTTTGTTTACCTGTGAACTTGATGAATCTGCTCAAACGTGCCACCTTCATTTTCTCTGAACAGCCACTAAGTCTGGCCATCGGTAAGCTCGGAGTTTATCGTTGATTGGTTGTTCAAACTTGAATAGGTTGAAGAGGACGGAATGCAATGCATGGGCATACATGTTCACTACTCGGCGTGCTAACTGTAACCATTACACTTGCAGCAGTGTTGCTGTATGATAAAGGTAAACACATGAGAGAGAGGAAAGTGCCATATGACTTACAGTTACATACAGTGGGGTTCAAACGCGTGTTTAAAATAGTATACTTGTGTAAGCTGCTGAATTGTGATGTCCAGCATGATTTCAGTGAGATGTCAACTCCCTTCAAAATATTTAAACAGACTCACACTGGATGTTTTGGACCGCATTGTGTTATTTATTTATGTTGTTATTTGATAAACTATCAAGCTTAATTTACAAACAGAACTAGATAAAGCCGAGAACGCGGAGTAAACGGGTTGTTTTGCAAATGCATTTGACACTCTCTCGCCTGCTTCCAGCCGTGAAGCGCACGCCTGTGATGACGTGGTGCGCAACATTTCGGTGACGTTCTCACTGTTGTTGGCGCGGTAAACACTGGCGAAGTTCTAAGCAGCTTTGCATAAAACAGCAGCCCTGTTAATCTCGGCGATTCGGCGAGGCCTTTATCGCAATGCGCTCGGAAACCGCGTGAAACGTCGTCCGAACCGGGCCTGCACGTCGACGCCTCGATCGATGCGAAGCCGAGTTTGGGTTCGTGCTCGGCTGCTTCGACCATCATGTTAGTGAATGCAACGCGCGGCTTCCTGTGGTCGGACATGGAGACCCGAGCGCTGCTCAATATCTGGGGCGAGCACGACGTGCAGACGGCGCTGGACGGAAACTTTCGCAACAGCCACGTTTATCGAGACGTCGCGAACCGTTTGTGCGAACTGGGCTTCGATAGGACGCCAGACCAGTGCAGGATACGGGTTAAGAGCTTAAAGAGGCAGTATTTCCAAGCGAAGGAGGGATCCAGGAAAAATGGGCAGTACCACAAGATGTGCAAGTTCTACGACGAGATGGAGAGGATTTTGAGCAATAGATCCTTTGTAGAGAGGCAGGATATTGATAGTGTTGCCATTGGGGGAGATGAGACGATGGATGAAGATGCTGAGAGTACTGAACTATTGCACGAGACTCACATGGATGGCAGTGGTGAATCCTCCTTTATGGAGCATCCAGTCAAAACTGAGTATCCGTCCTGCCCCATTCCGGTGACAGTGGGAGGCATGAGTATGTCAACTTATTCTGATCAGCCAGCAAGCAATGATCTGCCATCTTTAGCCTAATCGCTCTGCTTTTCCTTTGTGTGTGTGCGTGTTAACATCTGTTTGTTCTTCTCTCGAAAGGTTCATTTCCAGCCAAACAGAGCAGCTTACCGAAGACCAATCCTCCCGCCACCTCCTCCAGCAGGCCACGGAGAACCAAGAAGCGCTTCGCCAACATGTCGCTGGAGAAGCTGATGGAGAAGTTCCTGGAGCAGAGCATGGAGGCTGAAGACAACTTCTACCGGCTCGAGGAGCAGCGTCTTCAGGTGGAGGATAAGCGCAGGGAGGAGGAACATTCCAGAGAGTTACAGATGCTGCAGATGTTGGGGCAGATTTTTGCTAGCATCCGCACGCCCTCTCCAGCACCGACAGCCACTCCGCAGCCCTCTTTTATCCCACAGACTAACCTCACCGTACCCCTCGCTCGTCCCTCTTTGGGAAATCGTAACCATCCGCCTGCCTTGATTGACTTTGCCAGTCACAGCCAAGCAGCTGGCCCAGGTCTGCTCATGGAAGAGGGTGATTTTCAATGTTCGTCTAGATTTGACATTTCATTTTGCTATTTGTTTAACGGTCAAAAAAAAAACCGGCGGTTTGTTCAGTGCGCTACTGCTAAAATAACAAGAAATAGACAGTTGACCTGAAAATGTCAATTCTGTCATTTGCTTTGATTTGTGTGAGTTGAGTAATATAATTTTGAGGCCTAAGGTTTTTTTTACGATTATAGAAGATCCAACCATGCCATCATCAGTTCTTCAGTTCTGTCTAGGGCTGGGCGATTAATCCTAAAGTAATCGAAATCAAACTTCAGAACCTATAATTGATCTAATTTTTCCAGTTCAGTTTTTTTTTATTACTTTTTCTACCTCATGTGTAGTTACGTGAGCCTGCTGTGTTGGGCTGAGGCTAATTTCTATCTCTGGTCAAGTAGGACCGTTCGTGAGCCATTCTTTGCACTACATTGAGGATGATTGGCAGCTATGCCAGAGATGCCACGAGACGGCATATTTTCCATCACATTAAAATGATTATTTACAAAAAATATTTCCTCACAGAAGATGCAAGAATTGCACTCTTTAAAATATTTCTTACATGATATACAAGAATTATTTTATTTAGAAGATATGCTGCCTACTTTTTACTTTTATTATGAAAAACACTGAAAATTATTTTGTTCAGCGTTGATGTTATAAATAAATAACAATAGATGGTAGATTGTGTGTGTATCCTTCAATCGTTTTAAAATCAAGTAATGCGCCCTTCATAAAAAAAAAATCTCACTTGTAAAACGTGAGCATATTGACTGTACAAAATTTGTCAGTGAACTATGAGGGCAAAAGAATAAAATAAATCAAATAATTATTTATTAATCATAATCGAGGGAAAATGTTCAATTAATCGAGATTTTGATTTTAAGCCTAACCGCCCAGCCCTATTTCTGTTATTCTTGTTGTGAGTTCACACTTGGGAAGTTTGCTTTTGTGTGTGATTACTCTGTTAGTGCAGTTCTGAACACTGCCGTCTGATGTTTAATATCTCAGTCCACTTCTAGACAAACACTAATGCAGTCTGACTGAAATGTAATATAGTCTAACCTAGACCAAAGAGATCTAAACAAAACAAAAACAGGATATGCTGTCACCAAAATATAAGCTTGAAAATTGCAGGTTTTTTTTTTAGTTTTTTTTTTTTTACATTTTCTGTTGCAAAAAATACACCATATTATTAATAATATTGTTATTTTAGGTTTCATTTTAAAACATGAGTACGTTTACAGAGACACTAATAAATCCAATTTTAATGCGATAATGAGACAACACTCTGATTAAGAGTCTACCATGTAAACATCAACAATTTTTGATTAATTTTATCCGATTAAGGTCATAATCGATCTAATTAGAAATCAAATTAGGACGTGGAGTATGTCGATTTTAATCACATTATTGTAGTGCAGTACAGACATGTAAACACCACAATCAAACTATTACCTTAGTGTAGGATGTGTTGGAAGACACAGACACCTGCATCGCAAAATGCAGAGGGTTTGTTTTCTATTAGGCGTGCAGTATTAAATTGAATAAAAACAACACTCTTTCAGCAGTTCATGCCATCATCCAATATCTCGTTTGTCACAGGGGACTTGCTTGAAATTATCCTGAATAAAAGGGAAAGTGCCAGACTGCAGTTAAAGTCGACAAATGAAAAATGAAACGCCTGAAATTGCATTAAACTCATCACACGAAACGTGGATAGTGTGGTGGTGCTATGACGTTAATCGAACTATGTGCTATACCATGTAAAAACAGGATCATAAATATAATATTCAAAAAGCAACCCATGTAAACACCTTAATCATATTATTGTCTTAATCAGATTAAGGCTAGTAATTTGATAACTGATGTCCATTTAAACGTAGTCAGTAGCTACGTTTCAATCCACCCATTATGCACATTTCGGATGAGCGCATGACAAACCGGTTGAAGGAAAGCCAAATGTGCATAAGATTTGGAAATGTGCATAAAAAACATATACACATAACTGAGTAGAATAAACTTTTTATTTGATAAGAAAAGATGTGCATAAACTACGATGGAAACCCTTTTACCGAACAAATTCCAACGTGTGCACATTAATAAAAGTCATGTGATTTTGTTTTAAGAGATCACGTGATGATGAAAATGTGTGTGAATGGACAAACCAGCAGGCTGGTTACACTGTAAAACATCTGAAATGTTGTTTTGGTCATTCTAAAACGCCTTAACCGTTTCAGTTATCAGTGTTGTTATATTATAATGACCTCCAGAATTAAGAGCATCTGTGCTGCGCGTCTCACGCCTTCAAACGCCACCATGCATTCACTGCGCGTTGGCATCGTCTATTGAGGTGAAAGTCATTTATTAAATGAAGAAAAGATTCATGCAGCTTCTACTGCAGCAAATTCAGTTTTTACTTAAGATATTTGGTGGCAGTTAATCAGGAAGTGACGATTTTGTTCTCTTTGACTGAAAACGCTGCTTTATTCGCACGGCTTTATTGCAATAATCCAGTTTTGCGCATTTAATTAGCATTTTTGGATGGAAACACCGCTAGTGTTAATGTTATAGTGAACCAGGAACAAATGTATCATTTTCCTTTTTGGTTTAGACCAAGTGAACTATGCAAACAAAAAAAGTGAAAGTGTTATTACACCTTCAAGTGTTTATTACAACACTTTTATCTCTCTATTTAAATAATGTGAGTTAGATGAGATTTAAGAACAAATATTGCCTGAGTTTCAAGCTCTTTGCATTTAAGCCTTTAACAAATACAAATGAGACCATTTTTTTATTGTAGACTCATAACAGTGAAAACAAAACATGGCATTGGCCAATACAGATCAAATTCAAGTCTTCTATAGCTTTATGTGAAATGGATATTTCAGCCCTCATTTACTTTTCCTCAAGCTTTGAAATCCTGTGCATTCGCATATTGATTTAAACACAGCAGTATAATTGATGTTATTGGTTTTTATTAGCAATGCAGTGCTGCTTGTGGGTAACTGAACTTGATGCATTGAATATACAAAGTAGATTGAATTAATAAAATATAAATTAAGAAGAGTTAAGAGCTATAATACAAAGTCAGATTTTTAGAGAATAAGCTCAGATGGCCTTAGAAGATGCAGGTGTATTTTATGGATTTGTTTATCAATCTTACAACGTTTTGAAGCCTGACAGAGATGACAACTGAGCTGTTGTTGGATGGAAAAAATTTTCCATATATTCTCAGTTTTTTAATACACCACGGCACGACATCACAATATTGGAAAAAGACAGAATTTTCACTTTGCGTGAATAAGTTGAACAAGTAACAAAACGTATGCAATTAAATTGTCAACGAGTCAACTAGTGTAGTCCCAGTGCATGGAACTGATATATAGAGTGGTTTGTGAACACACTAATGAGTGTGTTTTTTCTCTCAGTCATAGAGCGCTCTTTTTCCCTGGGCAGTTCGGGAATGGATAATGTCATTCCTCTCGTAAGAAACACAATTCCTCCGCTGACATCCAAAAAGCACAAGGGTCAGGATGGACGCATTGGGATCATTGGAGGATGTCAAGAGTAAGTAGACTTGAATTATTAGATATGAAGATGCAGTGCTCTTCAATAAGTGACTGAAACTGGGTTATTTAACAGTAAAGCTACCAATGTGCAAGTATAAATGTTAATTACATGCAAGTACCAGCCTATTATAAGGTCTGATCAAGAAATAGACCACAATGGCGGTCTATAGACGTTTTTTTTTTTTCTTGAAGCTGTTATCATTTCTAGAGCTTTCATCGAACTCAATTTCGATTTCAGCCACATGTCCTTGATGTGATCTTCCGCAGTAATATTTTAGGTGCTATTTGTTGTGATGTTAGTGTTGTAGTTCATAGCAGGCTGTTTTCTTCTATTTATTCCCTGTTGATTGCTGAAACTTCCATCTTGTTGTTGACAGGTACACAGGAGCACCTTTCTTTGCAGCTATTTCTGCTTTAAAAGTAGTAAGTATTATGCTCAGATTCTGCTAAATGTTTGTCTTTCTCACTGGGCCCCTAATTAGATACACCTGTGCGACAGCTCATTAACATCAGCCAATCACATGGCAGCATTGCATCTAGGAATGTAGATGTTTTCAAGACAACCTGCTGAACTTCAAAACGCACATCAGAATGGGGTAGAAAGGTGATTTTTAAGGCCTCATACATGGTTTAAGTGACCCAATTTAACCCCCATCCCATTTGTCCCAGTTTGGAACTTGCCAATGTACATGTAATGTTTTTTTTTTGCCCTAATTTTGATTCGCCAACAGGTTTTTTGAAATTGATGACAGAAGCCAAAATTCAGAGATTGTATATAATTACAAAATAATCAAAGATGCAATCAGTGTCAACAATGACTAAAATGCATTAGCAGTGGTCTAGAGAGATTTGAGAGCAAGATACAGCATTGCGTTCACAGAGGACCTATAGACCACAATATCAGAATCTATAAGCTTTACAATAACATTAAACAGAAACGTTTGTTGCTGCACATTGCAAAATTATGTATTTACCAACACTCTTAAATCTGATCTTGTGTTAATTCCTTATCTATACTTAGCTTTTTGCTGGAATTTGCAAGAGAGACAAAGTTGCCAGACAACTTTGAAAACCAAACCGTGTAAACTTGGCATAAGTAGGAAAAAATCTCATGAAATCTGATATACTCTGGTTTAGGGGACGAAATTTATGCTCAATTTCGATTATCGAATCAAAAAATAGAATCGTCGATGCTGCCACGCCCCCATGTCACGTCAACTTGGCTTGCCAAGCGGGAAAAAAACAGGCTTGTTGAAGTGCTTGTTAAACTGCAGAAGCAGGAGACCCGTCAACAGAACTTAAACCCTCTCCTCTTTCAATAAAGTCGCCGGTGTGGAAGCATTTTGGATTTCCAGTGAGTTATGTTAACAACGTTTGTGTTGTCGACAAAAAAAAACCACAGTTTTGCAAGCTCTGCTATGTACGTGTTACGTACGGTTCGTCTGATAGACAACACCGGCATCGCGATCCTCCACCCGCCCCCGTTGCAAATCCGCTCGCGAAAAGTACACACTCAGGCCCTGATTACACTATCTTTGTTTTTAAATGGCATTTTAGAACGACAACAATTTGACATCCACAGTGGCGTGTAGCATTTCTGAGCAGCCCTCCTTCCTCTCTACCTCTGAAAATGCACATCACGTGACCACACAGACACAGACGCACACAGCCATGCGCTCGAGACAGCAGGTCCAGGCAGTCAGAGGACTGCTTTAATCTTTCACTCACTTGTACTTAGTCATTTTAGCGAACACCTCAGATACTGTTGGCTGGTTTCTGTTGGTTGTGCGTCTTTTTTACAGTCGCCGTTATAACGACACAGATCACTTCCTATTCACGAGTGAGTTTTTTTATTATGTGTGTATCTTGCCTTGATTCATTTACTGTATGATTTGTTTATGGGTAAAACAAAGACCATGCAGGTCAGGTAGTTTAAACGGTAGGCTACAAATAATTAATTGATCATTAATTTATTAATTATTCATAATTGAAAATCGAATCGAATCGTGACTTTAGAATCGAATCGAGGATTTGGAGGATCGTGACACCCTTACTCTGGTTTCATGCCTTCATGTGTGAAAATAATTCTGATATGGATCAGATGCGTGCATTTGCACCTGCAGGTCTGTGTAAGCAGGTCGATCGGATATTCCGATTAATTATGTAATTCATAACTTTGATTTAGTAACTAATTCATATTTATTTGTACGATCTCAATCATACATTTTAGTACGATTTACTCATCCATAATGAGACATCATTTGGCATTGGGAGGATTGGAATTTAAATGACTTACGACTCCTTTAAAAAGTTGTATGTATTCATATGCATGAAATCATATGAATTTGTAAAAAAAAAAAAAAATTCTGGCAATGCGTAAATTGGTTATGTTCCCTTGTGGGATCAGTAGGATATTCACCTGTCAGTGGTAGTGAATGACATCAAATCTGACATCTCAGAGTTGAGGTAAAGTTTGATTCATATTCACACATTCTGCCTTACTCCTTAATAATATAACTTCACAAAAATAATCTTTGCAGATTCTTAATAATGAAATCACATTAGCAGCCAATGACTATCAAAGCACAACTTGTTTACAGTCAAATAAAGAGTGCTAATGTTGTTTTCAGGTCGTACTTACATGACATTTCAGACCGAATATTCAAATGCACGATTGTAAACAATATAGGGAGCATATCACACATTGTCACTGAATGAATGCGTAAATATAAAAACAACTTTACCTCAATCATCTCAGAGTCCAGCATGAGGCCTAAACTGTGACTATATAAAATATTTTTTCTTTAGCCTAAAAATTTTTTTAATCTTGTAGCATAGTGTGCTTTAAGCGAACAAATATGCTTGCTGAGAGTGACCAATGGCTTTGTTGTTGCTCTTCTCTTTCAAAAATAATAATAAAAGACCTCTGGTTTATTATCCTTAAAGATCTTCTTCAGTTCTTCTTTCTCTGTAGGAGTGCGAATTTGTGGTAAGTCGTAATATGAACATTATTTTGGCGTGTATTATGCAAGTTACTATCTTCATGCACATGGACGCTCATTTAGAACACTCCAAATTCACAGAAGAGCGAGTTTAACAACAAGCTCGTGTGTACACATGTTATGATTTAGGTCGGAAAGTGTAAGAATTTTAAACGCGTCTCCTCTAGGATTTTTTCTAGCTGTGGCGGCAGTCCTTTTTTTTTTTTTATATATATATATATAATTAATTTTTTTTTTAGGGGTTTTCACCTTTATTAATAGGACAGTGAAGATATAGAGACAGGAAAGTGTGGGGGGCAGAGATAGGGGAAGGATCAGCAAAGGACCTCGAGACGGGAATCCAACTCGGGTCGCTGCGAGCACCTCGGTGCTATGTGTCGACGCACTAACCACTAAGCTATTGGCACCGACACGGCAGTCCTTTTTTACTCAAATCTACCAACTACCTGTGCCGTTATTTCAATGACAAATGTCATGAGTGCAGTATTAAAATTCAAGATCGCATTTATGTAATAGCCTATAGCATGCGAATCTCTTTGCTTGCACGCCAATTTCCTCTGCTCGAGCACAAAACTTGTTGCACGCCCCCTCAAATATACACCGCTCAAGCGCAGATCTTCTTGTGCGCTCTCAAATAACCGATGCTGAAGTGCGATTTAGTGCGTTTATATAACGACTATGTCTCCAACATTTATTAGATTTGCTAGGAATATTTATGAATGTCTCCAATAGACATAATGTGTCCTGAAGTAAAGTGAAACGGCTATACGTCGTGTTTGCTGGCCTCACGCATCACGCACCTGTCAGTCAGTCTGTCAGCACGTCACCTTAAAGAGTCAACAAACAAACAGCACTACTACAGTTACAGAAAAGTTTGCGCTGTTATAATTCACTTACCTTTTAATAAGTTTTGGTGCGATTATTACCCGCTATTAAAAAAACACGACAATGTTTTGAATGAGAAGCTGTAATGTAGCCGTGGCGGGATCAATTTTGGCGTGGCGCCCCCGCCATGGAAGAATGGATGTAGCGAAAAACCATGCGTGTGTGTGTAAATGTAAAAATGTACACAATTATTAGTGAGTAAGACCCAATGAGTCCACTAACTTTAAATAGCCTCAGCAGTCACTAGGTCTCAATCCAATGTAACCTTTTGAAGTGGGAGATTTGTATTATCAAGGAGCAGTCAACAAATCTGCAGTAACTCTGTGGATAATGTCAACATGGACCAAAACCTTTTGGATCTCGTGATGTGAATAATAAAAACTGTTCTGAATGCTAAATGAGAAAGTTGAAATTGAGTGTATATATAGCTTTATCATTCAAGATTGTCAGTTATCTGATTAGTGCATAATGCTAAAATATCAGTTGATTTAGTTGCTGCAAAATCACCTACTACTCGGTAGGTACTACATTTGAATTTTAAATTACTACACAACTATAAATAAAAAAAGTATGTTCTAGATCATAGGTCTCAAACCCGATTCCTGGAGGGCCGCAGCTCTGCTTAGCAGCAATCCTAATCAAACACAGCTGATGTAGCAAATCAAGGTGTTCAAGACTCTTTTGAACACTCGATTATTTAGATCAGCTGTGTTTGATTAGGGTTGGAGCAAAACTGTGCAGAGCTGCGGCCCTCCAGGAATCCAGTTTGAGACCTTTGTTCTATATAGTATTAATGTGAGTAGTAGGGTTGTCACGATACCATTAATTCAAGTTACGATATTATATCGGCTGAAGTATCATGTTACTAAGCAGTATTGAGATACTGTAATTCATAACTCAAATTATAAAGAAAATTATCAGAAATACTATGTTTTTATATGTTATAATAGGCCTACTTAAAGTTAATTCAAAATTCCCTTATTGAAAAATATACTATTTGCACATCACTCATAAACCAAATATGTAGTGTAATAGTTGAGTTGCTGTTGTTTTCACCAATGTTTTAGTGACTTTGATGCAGAAGTTCAGACTCATACACTGCATCATCATCTTTTCTGGACACTATTTAAAGTTAGATCAGCTCACCAGTCCGAAGATTACAGGGGTTAATCATACAAACATTTTGTCTCTCAGCCAGACGACTTTATTTCAGTCCAGGCCATCATTGCCTGAGCTCCTGGACGAAGCTCCACATGCTCTGCTACCTGGTGAACAAACACTTCCTTCTTTCATCCTCTTCACCACGATGGAGAGATGTTTTTAAAATACATCACTCCTGTGTGGACATTAAGTGACTGCTTTCAGCTCGTCACAACTTCACCTAAAATCTTTTTTTGTGTTTGTTTATTTTGTCGATAACTGAGCAACAAAAATACGGTAAAATAAAGATACAAATTATACCAAACTAAATGCGTTACAAAAACAGCACTTTTCAAATACAATTAGGCTATTTGAAGTCAAAAATGGTTTTGATGTTTCCTGTTGCTATTTTAGGGTTTTCATTTATTTATTTATTTTCAGTCTTATCAGTTAACAATACAAAGTAATTTAAAATTTATCTTTGCGAGTCATTCTTTTTAAGAGATTGTCTTGGTTGTTGTAGCTACTAAATCATATTGACAGGAGCAGAATTGAACCGATTTAGATGTGTGTTCGAAACGACAGAAAAATGCAACAAGGGCTCCAGAAACTATTAAAATAAAATAGTCTATTGTTGCACAAACATGTAAGCATTTAGTGATTTTTCCACATTGTAGATAGATCGTTAATGACGATACTACCGTTTACAAACTATAGCAGCACCGTTAGTATATTGAAGCCATAGTATTGCGATACTACTATAGTACTGGTAAACCGTGCAACCTTAGTGAGTAGTATGAATGGAACTCGGACATACTACATCCACCATTTGTCATTATCACATGACCTACTGGCACCAATTGCATCGCTTCACTCCCATTCCCAATTCCCTTGTGTTACATCATGGGATAGCATAGTTTCCATTGGATGTACAATTCAGAATCTCGCCAGAAGTAGTAGGTCATCTGGGTACTTTCATACTGTTTTTTTGAATACTATGAATTCTGACATATTACTCGGCTTGCATACTGTTTTTAGCGTCCTGTATAGTATGGACGTTTGAGATTTCTGACGCAGTTGTCATTTATCTACTGCTCCTTCTATCTGTTTTCCAGGGAGCTGATCTCTCTCATGTCTTCTGCACCAAAGATGCAGCTCCAGTCATCAAGTCCTACAGTCCTGAACTCATCGTCCATCCAGTGCTGTGAGCAGAAACTTTGATTCACAAGTCGATTTTATTATAAAATCAACAGACGAGGTTTTGAGAAGTCATCTTTCATGGATGTCCTCGATTGCACTAGCTGAAACCTTTTTTGTCAAGAGAAATGTGATGAGTGAGTGTGACGGTTTTGTTTCTCTCCTGGTTTTGTGTACCTGCAGAGACAGTCCCAATGCTGTGGAGGAGATTGAGAAATGGTTGCCCAGGCTTCACAGTGTGGTTGTGGGACCGGGACTGGGAAGGGAGGACATGCTTCTGAAGAATGCTAAGGCAAGAGAAAGAAACATTACTTCTGTGTACTTATGTACTGCAGTTCATACTAAATATGCAGTGGTAAAGGCACAGATAACAACTGAATTTTTATTTGCCAGCTATAGATTTGCACTTTTGAGCTTAAAATCTTTTGATCTTTGTAATTTTAAAGATATAGTGTTGGTAGGATATGTAAATGAACAATATGTACTCTTTATCTGAGTTTGGACCAGTGATTTTAGTATTTCTTTGTTAGCAAAACAGCTGCCAGGCTTTAGTGAAAATGATTTGTTTTGCTTTAGCATTTTTGTATTTCTTCCCACAGACAGTCAGGGTGCTTTCACACCAGTGACTCGATTCAGTTGTTCCGAAACAGAGATTACAAATGTTGCATTGTTGCTCTTGGAGCGGTTCACTTTCACATTGCAAAGTTTCTAATCGGACCAAAAGAGCTAAAACAAGTCACGTGCGAGTAAACTCTCCTCACATTGGTCAGTGTCAGGGTTTATTTTGCAGCGTCCCGCTAAGCTGTCAGGAGAGGTGGTGGTTCGGTGGTGATTGACAGGGTGCGCACGCGACGTGTCTGAGGAGAGACGCGGTGGGGAGGGGTGAGAAGGGTGCTCGACGATGCCTATTTGAGGACCGGGAGGGAGATACAAGATTACCGGGAGATCATCACTCGTTTGCGGGCATCCGGAGACTCGCAAAACTTCCGGCCCTACTCATAATTCTCTCTTCATATAGCCGTAAGCCTATTACATATCCATAAAACACTGTGATATAACCGCGCTCGGATCGGATCGCTTTCTCACTGCAATCGAACCACTCCAGGGTTCGTTTCAATCGGAGTTTCTCGGAGCGATTACTTTGGCGCGGAACAGAGCGCGATTGCCCTGTTCACATATGCTAATCGAACCGCGCTAACTGGGCAAACGAGATACGTTCCGAAACAAAAGTGTAGGTGTGAAAGCACCCTCAGATGAGGTTTGTATAGACCAGGTTGTTTACAATAGCAGAACTATAAATGCATATGAAGTTGCTTTTGAGATGTTTCATGTAATCGTAATAACACGGTTATTGTAAGGGTTCATCATTGAAAATTGAATATTTTGACTGCTGAACATTATAGAAGAAACACTATGACAGCAGTCTTCCTTTCTGTTTATTAGTAGTAGTATTAGTAGTAGTAGTAGTATTTTACTTCAGGGTTTAGCACAAAGATCTCTCCAGAAGACAGAATGGCAGATTCTTTCATAATTTTTTTTCCCTGTCATATTTTATATTTGAAGTGAACACAGTGGGTTTTCAGGTTTTCTTCACAGCAGTTAAGCATCACCAGCAAGTTATTTGATATAAAACAACTTTTTAAACTAATGCTGCGTTACATTTTATTTATTTTTTATTTATTTAGGGTGCATTCACACCAGAAAAGTCCATTAGTTCAATTGCTTTGGTCCATATCAAACATGTTTTCTTTCTTTTTGTGCAGTTTGCTTTCACACTGCCCTTTTTTACAAGAAATCCAAAAAAACTGTTAAAAAAAACACATTTGCTAAAATCTGCTATTTATTGGACAGAATTGTTTCTATTTGCACCTGTCCAAAAGATTTACACCAAAGGGGGAAGTGAACTTGAGTTTGACTCTAACCAAACAAGACAGATCTGAATACGCCCTTAATCACTGCACATTGGTCTATGTGTTATTTTATGGTTATTATGACTTGTATGACTGTCCGATGGCAATGGCTTAGTGTAAAAGACATTTTTGACTGGATGTGTTGTTGACCTGGGGTCTGTTCTTTGTGCCCCGTTTAAATGATCTAAAGATGATCTGGCAGATCCTGGATCTTTTAATCTTGATAACACAGCATTTAAATAGTTGATTTTCACATGGACTTGAATGGGCCAAAAATGATGCCTTTATATACACACGTCTTGACAAGAACTTTAAAAATAGATGATCATAAATGGCTGAGAGAGAAATCAGATGTGTATAATCATCATATTGGATCCGTTCATTGTGTCTTTTAGTGACTGCCTACTAATTTACCAGCTTTTGTCTGCTGATGCAAATGTCAATTCAACACAAAGTCAAATAGAGTAGTCCCTCACTGCATCTGTCCTAACTGAATATCTTTTAACAAGTATTGATCTATTTTTATTGTAACATTAGCCAAAACAAAGTGTTTTTGTGGTAAGCCATTAGAAATATTATCAGTAATAAGACCTGCAATTGCTTTTTAAAGGTTGTGTTTTTCTAGAGAGCTTAACAATGTGTTTCTTAATCTGTGTTTGCTTAATTTCATTAATGTAACTTGCTTCTATTTTTTAGGAGATTATTGAGAGGTCAAAACTCAGAGGAATACCAGTCATCATTGATGCTGTGAGTAATGTTTTCACTGAAACCTTCAGTGCAGCTGATCATTTTGCTTCATACTGGGCTTGTTGGCAAAAGTGGAGCCAACAGAATTAGTGTTATAGAATATGACATAGAATTCCCTGATATAGAATTAGAACCGAGACAGAAGAGAGATCAGACATGGCATATCATATTATATTCATATTAAATTATATATTATTTGCCCAAGTGATGTTTAACAGAGCAAGGAAATTTGCACAGACTGTCTGATAATATTTTTTTCATCTGGAGAAAGTCTTATTTGTTTTATTTTGGCTAGAATAAAAGCAGTTTTTATTTAAAAAAAAAAACATTTTAGGAACAAAATTATTAGCCCCTTTAAGCAATTTTTTTTTCGTTATTGTTATATAATAACTTGTTAATTTCCCTAACCCGCCTAGTTAATCTTATTAACCTAATAAAGCCTTTAAATGTCACTTTAAGCTGTTTAAAAGTGTCTTGAAAAATATCCAGTAAAATATTATTTACTGTCATCATGGCAAAGATAAAATAAATTAGTTATTAGAGATGAGTTATTAAAATTATTCTGTGTATTGTGCTGAAAAATGTTCTCTCTGTTAAGCAGAAATTAGTGAAAAAAAAATAAACGGGGGCGCTAATATGTCAGGGGGGCTAAAAATTCTGACTTAAACTGTATATAGAACCTGAGGCCATAATTTCAATTTTTGGGATCAAACCACATTCCTTATGTTTTAACAAATGCAAGATGAATGTGATGGTCTTTGCTACGCTTTTAGCTAGAAGATTAATATTGCTGAAATGGAAGAAAAAACTTCCTCCAACCTTTAAGCAATGGCTTATGGAGATCCTACACCACCTGACCTTAGAAAAAAATATGATATACTGTAGGAGGCAGTACTGATGTTTTTTTTCATCTGGCAACCTGTTTTAGATCAAATAAAGAAGATGGACCCACCAGTCATTTTAGAAGAGTAGAACCTTTTCTTGTTTTTTGTTTTTGTTATTTTTTTGTTTAATAAATGTAAAATGTTTTACTTAATATTATTATTTATTTGTATTCCATCTTAATATTTTTTTTATATATTTTTGTAAAACCTAAATGTACAGTTGACATCAGAATTATTAGCCTCCTTGAATTATTACCTCCCCCCTTTTTTCCCCCCATTTTCTGTTTAACAGAGATTTTTTCAACACATTTCTAAACATATTAGTTTCAATAACTAATTTCTAATAACTGATTTATTTTATCTTTGTCATGATGGAAGTAAATAATATTTGACTATATATTTTTCATGACACTTTTATACAGCTTAAAGTGACATTTAAAGGCTTAACTAGGTTAATTAGGTTAACTAGGCAGGTTAGGGTAATTAGGCAAGTTATTGTGTAATGATGGTTTGTTCTTTAGACTATTGAAAAAATATATAGCTTAAAGGGGCTAAAAATTTTGACCTTAAAATGGTTTTTAAAAAATTAAAAACTGCTTTTATTCTAGCCAAAGTAAAACAAATAAGACTTTCTCCGGAAGAAAAAATATTATCAGAAATACTGTGTAAATGTCCTTGCTCTGTTAAACATCATTTGGGAAATATTTTAAAAAGAAAGAAAAAGGGGGGCTAACAATTCTGACTTCAAATGTATACCTGTGGGATGGGTTTTGTTTGTTTGTCGTGTAAAAAACAAAGAAAAAGTGAAAAGCTCTTTGTATGTTTCATATCTATTATGTTTAATAAAAATACTTTTGAATAAATAAAAAAAAAAATTCAAATCCAATCCTAAATGGATTAACTTTTTGACATCACTTCGTACTTTACATTCTTAACAAATCTACTGATTAATCAAATGCTCTGTAGTATCTGGCATGTGCCAACTCATTCAAGACACACATCATTTGATGCGTTTGAGTTCAACCTCTCTCTCCCTCTCTCTCACTGGTAAGAAAAACTCAGAAATGCTATTGGCTGTTGTTTTTATAAGGGGATGGGGTTTTCCTGTTTCAGTTGAAATGGTCACAATTGAACAAAAATACGCATTTAAAAGCACTTCACTGGACCAATAATAAAACGTAAATTAGTAAGGGGTAAAAACTGTCTTTACAAGCTGTGGTGTTTGTGTTTCTTTACAGGATGGACTTTGGTTAGTGGCAAAAGAGCCATCAGTCATTCAAGGCTATCAGAGAGGCATCCTCACACCCAACTTCATGGAGTTCACTCGTCTGTATGAGGCCATGGTGAGAATTCTGGATGTGCTAATTACCTCTCTGCAGCTTTGCGTGTTGTATTTGTATGTCACATCTAATGCCGAGTTCAGACTGCATGATTTTCAAAGTAGTCGTGGCACAGATGTATTCACACTGCATGACTATCTGGGTTAGCGTTCTGTCAGTTCTGCATTTACACTGCAAGATGGATCAGCGACAGGAGAGTTTACACTGCATGACTTTAAAATAGGAAGAATCACAGCAACTTTGTCCAAGCTACGTCTCACAACCAAACAAACGCGAGAAGTGACAAGGAAACAACGGAAGGTCACGTAATATATCTTTTGTTATTAACTACATGATGGAAAAAGAAGGCTTTAGCTTTAGAAACTTGTATCGCTCACCTGGCTTTTGAAGAGAATTAACAATCCTCAACTTTTTTACTTTTCGACCTGATTGTGATATTATTCAGACGACACGTCAAACAGACACAGTGCTCCTGCCAAGTTGACACTAGTTTTTCCTTCATTTCTTGGGTCTAAATAAACTGATAATGAGTGCTTTTAACTTCTCCCCCAACCTCCCGCTGGCCTGCAGATATCCATACTAGTGAATGCTGCTCTCTCATTGGCTGTAGGTGATCACGGATGTTATTTTCAGTCAAAACACATTTCACACGGCATCATTTGAGTCCTTGGCGATTCTTTCATATCGCGTCCTTGATAGTTCACACTGTGTGATTGTCACTCACGTGAACGAGCACCGATTTGCCTGTGATTTCAGGCATTTTTCGGCAATTTCTCAAAACCTGTCGCCGAGTCAAAATCAGGGCTAAAATCATGCAGTCTGAACTCAGCATAAGGGGGTTTTCACACTGTGCACATTTGCGCAATACTTGTTTTTATAATAGCATAGGAATATCCCAGTATGTGACGAAATCCAGTTTGATCAGCCAGACAGGAGATGCATCTGTAAAAATCAAGAATCAGATTTGAGTTGAACTCATTACTGTCTGAACATGGACTAAATGTGCTGAATTTTTGCACTCTACCACAAAGGCAAAGTGTGCATAATTAATTGGTTGTCAGGTGTATCGCTTCGGTGGTTATTAAGCAAGTTTAAAAACATCAAGAGTCATTATTACAGTATGAAGTACAGTAATCAACAGCAGTGATTGAAAGCAGATGCCCTGAAGCTTAGCTGCACCTGATATTTATTTTCAGTGACAAAGCAGAAGTGAAAAGCCAAAAACCGTTACACGAGTATCATGCCTTTAGTTCTTTAAGTAGGTCACTCAAAACAAAAGATTGTTTGTTGTTACAAGATAAAAACAAAATGGATGAAATGAAATGTTATGTAGATTATTAATTATTATACGACTAAATAGTGTGTTTATTTAATAGATTAGAAACCGCTTTAAAATTACCAAAACTTTTTTTTAATAGTAGCTTCCCTTTTTACTGGTCCTAAAATACTATTGGTTTTAATGTAAATAATGGAATGGTTAACAAAATATGGCCTAGCTTGAGTGGGAAATAGTTTTTATGTTTTTTTTTTTTTGGATTATAAAATCCTGACAAATATATTAAAAACAGAACACTTTTTTTACAGACGAGCAATTTCATCGTTATGGATGTGATGTTTGCAATAAAAATGTGAAATATGAATTCACAGAGAACGTGGATGTTAACAGTATATTAAAGAGCACCTATGGTGAAAAATCTGCTTTTCAAGCTGTTTGGACAGACAGTTGTGTAAGTATAGTGTACAGACCATCATATTGGGGTGATATAAACACACCCAGTCCTTTTTTTTTCAATTTAACAACAAAAACGGTGGACCAATAGGAGCAGTTTTCAGAGCGACCACAACTTGACGTAGGAGTGCGGTCCCCCCGCCCATCAATATTGATTGACAGGCGCGCGTCACCATATTTTCAGTTTGTGGTTTCACGTCTACCATTTTCAGCATGTGAGTCAAAGCAATATCACTAAAGGAACCCCCTTGCTCTATTTTTAGATGTAAGGCTCATTGGGCTCAACACAAGATCAACATTCATCACGTGATCGCTGTAATCTGAATTATTGTTTGTAACTTTAGGTTGGTTTGCAAACATGTGTACTTTTCATTGCATCTACCTTAAACTTTAGCCATTTGAATTTCCTGCGGTCACAGAAGCTCCCTGTGATCTTAACTAGATGCAGCTGGAAAGTGCGAACGTGCTGCCTCATGTCCGCATCCCTCCATTGGAAATAAAATAACGAACTTGCCTGCAGGTCGCACACCAGAAGCGCCGCTTGGCGATGCTCAGCATCACACCACGCATGGCCATACATTTTAGAATTCTAAACATAGGTTTCTAACGGCTCTTCAAGTCAGTGGCTGTCCGCGGTGCCCAGCCACGATTTGGGACACTTCATATTTCTGCAGCACCACAGAGCGCCATCTGAATAGTCTGACCAGTTGTTTGGTGTGCAGTGTCGCGGCTCTGAGTGTCGCATCTGGTGCCTCAGTCAAAGTTTATTCAGTGTGCTCGGTTATTAGTCTCAGTGTACAAGCTTAGAACTTTAAACTAGCACATAGTTGGCTGTTAAACTATACAGAGACACAAATGATTTTGTACTCTCTGCTTGGTCTGTGTCCGAGTCGTACATGTACGGCTGAATGCTTGTCCTCTCACTCATGTTGCTTCTCTTAATTTTATTATAAACACATTATTGTAAAAAAAATCTGAACCGTGTTTTAAACTGATCCTAAAGTGGCACACTCAGAAGAACCATAATAATAATATTAAATCTTAAAAAGGGGTAAACTATGTGCCCTTAAACATCTGTTTGTTTTTTCAAAATAACCAATCACAGAGTTATGGGATTAGAAAAATATCAATCTGTAAACTTGTTTTATATTTTAAATGAGAGAGAAAAAAAATGTGCTATGGATGTGACCAAAAAAGTATGCGAGTTTTGCCTTCACATGACAGGAGCTACAACCGCGAAAATGTGAAGCGCTGAAGATGAGGGACTGAAAATAACACTGACAGATTTTGTTTTAGAAACCACCTAAAGTTACTAATAATGGCACATCTTATTAGTGATCATGTGCTGAATGTTAATCCACCATTTACACTTTTCCAAGAGTGGATAAAAGACTTCCAGTGGCTTCAAGTCCACTATGAAAATAAGTAAAGCCATTCACTGTAAAGTCTGTGGGACGGGGTTTACAGGTAACAGCGTTTGCCACTGAATCTACACATTTAAAGAGCGAGAGGTGCTGTATAATCCTTCATTTACTCCTCACCATGCTGTCAGCCATGCGAGTGGCAGCTATATGTAACATTTAACACAGCTCATGAAAAGACCGTTATTACTCTTAAGATGACACGCAAATTATAAGTTATACATCAATATAAATGTGGGGCGGGGCGATGGATCGTGATGCCAGCTCAGCATCGTGAAGTTTGTCGGCCATATATTCTTTCTATAAACCGAAATCAGTGTCTACACTATGAAATGACTCTGATAAAGAAAATACCAAGATAGGGGTGAAACAATCTCTCATCATCATTCAGTGCAACATTGTTAAATTTCATATTCTGAGATGTATTTTTAGTATATATATATATATATATATATATATATATATATATATATATATATATATATATATATATATATATATATATATATATATATATATATTATTGTAAGTTAATGTATGAAAAACAAAAAGATGTCTTTCACAATTATAGTTGTAAATTATAGTTATTATAATTTTTTTCCCCAGCATCACGAGCCTCTAGACAGCAGCGACCACAAGAGAAGTGCACAGCAGCTGAGCATCGCCCTGGGTCACCTGACCCTGGTTTTGAAGGGGGAGGAGGACATTATTACAGATGGAAAGAACAGTCAGTGATGATCTTAAATCAGTCAAACCTTATACAACTCCTGCGTCCTGTTGTCTTTTTCTAACTTGCTACTTTTTTTTTTTTTTGTCAGTTCTGACCTGTAGTCAGGAGGGCAGTGGACGGCGTTGTGGAGGACAGGGGGACCTGCTGTCCGGGTCTCTAGGAGCCTTCGCCCACTGGGCCTTCAGCTCACCTTCAGATGCAACTAAAGGGTAAAAATAGCAACACCAAAAAAAGCTATATCAGTTCGGACAGAATTTTTTGCAATCTATTTATACATCTATAATGTGGAAAACAGATGCACCCAGAGAGACATGATGTAGCGACACGGGAATGACTGAACACTAAAAGAAAAACACAAGAGATTCTGCATTCACTTTGTGACAAGCTTCAGCTTTAACCTTAGTTCTTTTCATTCTGCCTTGATTTTGTAATATGTTCAGCATTAAATAAACAGGCATGGGCAGATTATTCAAGATCATTCACATCATTCAATTTAGATTTTCAGTTATAGGCGATTATGAAAAAACATTAATAGAGATAAACTGATTATTGTGTCCTACAGGATTGTTGCTTCTTCAAAGTACTTGAATTTCAGACAAATGGATTCAAGGCCTGAAACAAACACAGCTTCTTGAAAGTTCTTTAATTAAATTTAAAACACAATTAGTTTATGGTGTTATTTCAACAACTGTGCTGTGCTGCTGTCAAAAACAGAATGAAAAAAAGATATACTTTATGTATAAATCTTAAAATGTATTCAAATTTAAATCTTACGCAAGAACTGACAAATAATGCACATTTCAACAGTATTTCAGAAATTGAATATTTGAATGAATTTGCATTGAATATCACCCATATTGAATTTAACACATTTCATTAAACAATTTTTGGTTTGAAAATGTCACATTTAAATCATTATCACTCTGACATTTTAATGTTAATATTACGTGCACGAGAATTAAGTACAGTAAGGACTTCCCAAGTGCTACACTTGCTGGCGGTGTGAAATATAGGTGTTGATTTAAAATGAATGGTGCTTTAAAACGTCCTTGAATCTGCTGTTTATGAAAGAGTGGGAATCCTGTTTCTTTCCATTTTTGCCTTTAGGTTCAGTTTCATGTGGAAATCTGTAGATTGTGTAATGTGACTTTTTGCAACATAGGACGTGCTTCACATGAACTCTCATTTGTTGTGTAATACGGGAACACAAAGAGTCGAGAATGAAAAGGCATCTGAAAGTGAAAGCATAGAATAATGCTGTATGCCTCTTAAAGTGACAACACTATATTCCTGCTGTTAACATTATTATTATTATTATCATCATTATTATTATTATTATTATTATTATTATTATTAATCAAACAACAATAACACACTCACTGCTCTTGAAGGCTTGTTTTGGGGGGTTTACTTTTTCCCATTCTGCGTCAGCATTGACAATTGTGAAATTTCATGATTTTTGAAATGTAGAAGTGTAATAGAAACATTATTTAAACTGGGAAAAACTTTGTGATTGCAGTTTAGACCAAAAGAAGAGTGATTATGATTTTTCCCATGGTTGAGAATCCTTAACATTTGTCCAGTCTGAAGTGAGAATTATTAATAATAAAACAAACAAACAAAAATGTGCACAATTATATAAAGTTAAGCATGTATACTAGGGATGTAACAATATTGTAAATACCGTCATACCGCAATAGCAATTTCTTTCAATATTACCGTGGTTGTGACTCAATAAAATCATAGGTCTTTTGGTGAAAAGTTTGCACAGGCGAATGGGAGGTAGCGGAAACTACAATTTTCATCAGCCCAGGCGTGGCCATCATCCTTTGCGGTCTGTTGTCGCTACAGATCCAGTAATGCAGAAATGGAGGGTGCTAAAAATAAGAGCTAAAAATGGTCGAACCTAAAGCGGGTTTTAAATCAGATGTGTGGAAGCATTTCATTTTCTCTCTGAAAAGAAACAAGAAAGAAGAAAAGGTGACAGAAAAAAAAAGAGTATGCAGGCATTGCCAGACTGTGCTGAAATACAAGTCGGGGAATACGACTAACATGATGGGGATTCTTTTAGTCAAGAACACAGCACACTGCTCAGGTTGATGGAGACATTGACTTGTACCACCAAGAGACCTCTATCTTACTCATGGCTTGTCCTTACGAGTGGTGTTTTTTTTTTTTACATGGTTTAATATTTTTTGTTATTAAAATTGAACAATTTAAGTTCCTGTTTGAAAGTTTACAGATAGATAATTTGTATGTCATTGATCTGTTCAGTGTTGAGGTAACCTGAACATTCTAGCACTTTTTTGAGTCTCTTCAATAGTTTTGTTTTTCCTTTAAATGATTCAATAAATACCGTACCGTGCCATTCATACCAAGGTATTACCGTATCGTGAAATTTTGATACCGTTACATCCCTAATGTGTACATTATTGTATGTGTGGGTTATAGTAGTAACATCAGGCTCTTTGAAAAGACTAGGGTGTAACCATTTACTAAACTCATGATTTGACATCATTCACAACACTGATCTCACCTTACAGTTTTCAGTTAATTTAGGCAGTTTAGAAATGATCAAGTGTTTTGTTTTTTTCTTATTTTTCCAATGTTCCACATTTCTGTTTGAAATGAAACTACATTTTGTCTATAAATAACAAAACTAAATTGCAATTTTAAATCAAAATTTAAAATAAAACAAAATGAATAATGATGCAAATAAAATAAGTAGCTTTTATTTAAACAAAGACTTACAAGTCTTTTTAATGTCCCCTGTTAACGGAATAAAAAACTTTCACCATGAAATCTTCGCTTCAGTACTCTTTCAGTTTTTATTAAATTTCAGTTAAATTGTTAACGGTAAACTCAACAGGCTCTATTTTACATTATTGGTGCAAAGTCTAAAGTGCATGGAACAAAAGAATTAAAGAATCACGAATCCCTCGAGTACTTTTTTTGAGATTTTAACAGATGTGTGTGTGTTGAGCATCAGTTAAGACAATATTAGCACCTGTTAGCTTTAATTGTGGGAAAAACTGGATAATTTTGAGCTTTTGTCAGCTAATTTCAGCTTCCGGGTTTAAAAGGATTTTTGGGGCAGGATCAAAATCGGCGACGTAGCTCAAAACTGCAAATGGAGTGATAAGAAGAGCCTGCTTCCTAATTATTCATGACTGCATGTGCTTTCCGAAGGCAAGGCATACCTGCCAGTGCCAAGCTGTGAGACACGGACCCACGGCACACGGTATTTAGCTGTTCATGAAGGGTCGTATGTGCTTGTTTCTATGATCCACGGGGTTTGTTGCATGCTTTTCCCCGCGATGCTGTCAGGGCCGATACAGCAAAGCTGTTTGTGTGCTGCAAGCATTTTTGTCGGGAGAGCTGTACGAGAATTGGAGAATGGCGGACGTTGTCTTTTATCAAGAGTTTGTTCACATTTAGACACATCACTGTGCTGCTGTGTTTGCCTAAATTCTCTAGATCAGTGGTTCTCAAAGGAAGGAACCACCAAAATTAATTACAGCACCCTAGACCACACAGAACCTAAAAGATACACTTTCAAATTTGAGTTTATGAAAAAAATACAAAAAGCGCCTTTTATTAGGTGTTTATTATGACACAGACAACATATACAGTTATTTTAAACCCTTTCAATAGCGTTTTATGAAACTTCAAAGGGTTTTCTTTAAAACGAGACCAATTTTTTGCATTTACACCTCTGCATGTGGATTTGGGAAGCTTTTAAATTTGGGTAGGCAAAATCCAGGCGGAAATCCCGAAATAGCAGCAGAGTTTATTTACATTATGGGATGTTTTTTTTATAAGTTGTTTACATTTTAAGACTTTTATTTAAAAAATAAATGTTACACACATACTGTTTGCTAGATGGAATGAAAAAAATTTGAAGCTCAATATCTCAAAATAATTCAGAACGCAGATAGAACCTTATAATTCCAAGGGGACGATATTTGAATTGATTTTCAAACAGCTCACGGTAAATCATTACATCCCTAGAACCAGCATAAGAAAAAAAAAGTGTTTTTGAACCAAACCACCCTGTCTTTAATAGTAGATGTTTCTGTTTTGCAGCATGAATCCCTCTCTGGTAGCTGCATTCGGTGCTACGTCTTTGACAAGGCAATGTAATCGCCAGGCCTTCCACAAACACGGCAGATCAACCACCACCTCTGACATGATCCAGGAGATCAACAGCGCTTTCAAGAAGCTTTTCGAAAGCTAAACTACATCTCTCTCTGTGTGTGAGTGTGTGTGTGTTCATTCATCTTTCCAAGTCATCATAAAGACTAAAAGTCTGCATCTCGATGATACTCGTATATGATAAACTTGACGTACATTGTTAAGCATCCTTTTTTCCCTTTCCTTTTTTATTTTCAAGTGCCTCTTGTAGTTCTGCAATACAGTATCAAGAACTTGTCCAACTTGTCCACCTTCATGTCTGTGTGGTGGCTTTCTGTAAAATCCTCCACCGTTCTGTTTATTTAGTTTTTTCATGTATGTCTATAGATGTGCGTTCCGTTCGCAGTTGTCTAGATTTGTATATGATAACCCACTACCAGATGGTTTTAACACCGTCCCTTTCTGAATGAATTGCCGTCTCACTACAAGCTGCAGTTTATTTATTGGGTTGCTTGAAAATGTTTCACTTTCAAGTATTCAAAATCTAGCTTTATAGTGGATGTTGTCCTCACATTAAACTGTTTAACATCTTATTTTTCCGTCAATAACTCCCTCTATTTAGTATGTGCAGCAAAGTACAAATAATTGAAAGTGACTGTCACTTTTAGATATAGTTTGTTATTCTGCGTATTAAACTAACATGGAAGTTTTATTTACAATGTTTCTTTTTTGTATTATTCCCTCTGTGTGAAAATATCTGTATGGCTGGAGCGGATTGTGGTTGGTAATTTAGGTTTCTTTAATATCAAATGATGAAAAAGAATCATGAAGAGGCATGCATTTAATGGACATCCATCCTCACTGGATAATACTGTCCTTGATCCAATGAAACTACAAAGTAATAAGCTTACTAGTAATACATATTCCTGAAGATTTTGTAAATGATACACCGTGTCCGTTCAAAAACAAATGAAGATGCAAAAGGTGCCTTATGAATTATTTACACTAAAATAAGCATTTTTCTCAGGCTATTGTTTGTAGGTTCTGTACTTTCAATTTTAGAGCAAATAAAAGGTTATTTTCATTGCCTTTAAAGTGAAATAGCCTAACAAAAACAGAAGGCTGAGAAAAATGCACAATTAAGAGGATAATATCATGTGGCATTTAGAGGTTTTTGCATCTAAACTCTAGTTGTTTTAGCCTTAAAACGTCATAATACACTGAAATATTGTTTTGTCAGACTTAAATCATGTTTTCTTTGTTTGAAATAACAGTTATGTAGAAAAATCTGTTTACACAACTTGTGATTAACTGCTTGGACACATTGTTTAAAATGTCTGATTATAAAATATCTAATTAGATTTATTTATTTATTTATTTATTTGATGAGGCAAGTAAAAAATATGTTTCACTGAGCAAAAAAAAAAAAAAACAATCCTTGGCATTAAGCCCTGCATCATGATGGTTTTAGAAAGCTCGTAAAATATCTAAAAAAAAAATTCCCAATTCCTTTTTATTATATTTTAACATACATACACATTTCCATGTGTCAGATCCTACACAAACCAACAAACAAACAAAACAAAACAAAAGGCTTCTCAGTATTTTACAGAATAAAATATCACCTCTGTTACTAATCTTCTAGTAAAACATTTCCAAATCCACCACCTTTTAAAAACGGCTTAAAATGTCCCCAAACTCTATCAAAAATTATGTATCTATTTTTTATCATATAAGTAATTTTTTCAGTTGTCATGTTTGTTACCATTGGTGCACACATACTTTTCCAATTTAAAGAAATAAGCTGTTTCGTTTGTAGAATACACATATTCATAAATATATGCTCCGTCTTTTTAATCTTGATCTCCTTGGGATATAAATTAAATAAAAAATGAAAGGAGACATTGGTATATTAACCTCAAGAATATTTTCTATAACTTCTTTTACACCTTTCCAAAAGTTCTGTATTCCTTTACATTCCCATATACAGTGATACAGCGTAAAATATCTTAAATTTGACTTGATGAAACCTGCAGAAACTCTGAGACACACATAGTCTGGCATCATTAATTTATTTAATCTGTTTATTTACTTGAGTAAATGTGTAAATTTATATTTATTCAGTTTTTAAATTAGTCTCAGTAATATTATTGACTAATGTGAAAATGTTCATCTGATTTATGTACAATGCAGTTTGTCCAGTAATATTTTTTTGTCTTTTACTAGATAAACTATATGACAAACTTGCTTTATTTACCAAATAAAGTGAATCGAATTGGATTTGCATTTTAAACATTAAATAAAAGTTAAAAGATATTATTTTTTATTTCATATATTAAGGTTTTAGTTATAATACTTCCAAAATAATTCACTTTTATCAAAATTCTCCACAGAAGTAGCAAAAGACGTCCGCAGATTCCATCTGGCCCCAGTGAATAGCCACAAAATTAGGTTCATATAGACTAATATACTAATAACAAATGATTGGGTAATCGCATGGTTATAAAATAATGAGATTACAAAAATGTAAAGATTCATATAGTTGAATTTGAAATAAACATAATTGACAATTAAACACTTATATTTATATAATTAGATTTAAATGAATGCAAATATTACAAAGAGTAAATGAAAAATCACTGATCTAAGAACAAAAATACATTCCAATATAAAAATACTGCATTTGATTAAAAATGTTTCTGTGTTAAATTATAAAGTATTATATAGTAAACGTAAATCAAAATGTACATCAACTGAATATTAGTAGAATTAATTTTAGACAAATAGCTACAAATAAAAGTAAAAAAAGAATGCATTAATAAGAAAAAATGACACTACAACCCCCTGAAGTAAGCTATAACAACGAATTATATAGTGTAAATTTTAAACAAAATGTCACTCTGAGAAAACCTGTTTGTAAACAATGAATGCGACACGTCTCACATCAAACGGCAGGTTTTTGCCATTGCGCGCGTGATCTTCCCCGCACCACATTAATATTGCACTGCGCGTGCGTGACTCCGTCCTCCGGTTACTCAACTGCTCCGTTTCAGGTTTTGTGCTACGTTTGTTTTCTAGCGGGCATGCGCAATCTCAGCGCTGAGCCCTTAGAGATCTTTCCCTGGTTTTGAGAATCATTCATATCGTGGCGAGCATGCGCAGACTGAGTCCATGTTTTTGGGTTTTGTTTAACAACGCTTGAACAATAAAAGGCATTAATCCTTTTTTTAAATACACGAAAGACTGAGATAACAGTCATTGCACATTGACAATTTCATTCCTCATATCCTCATTCATGATAACATATAACAAAGTAAAAATGTTACAAATTAAATAAATGATAAAGAAAAATAGGTTGCAGGGTTGTTGAAGTTTTCAAAATATGAAAGCAAAATCTTCTGAGCAATTATTTTATCATTATGCTCTGAATATTTTGCTTTTTGGCTTTTCATTTCTCTTAATGTCTACAAATATATCACAAATTCTTCTTTAAACACCACTAGTTTTAGGGGAATTTTGAAAAATGTATATTTATGAATATATAATTGTAAAAATATCAACACATTATTCATTATATAAGATATATCATATCTTTAAGTATTTAGCCAAGCTTAATGATTTCCCATGAGAAGTCTTACAGATAAGTCTTAGAAATCTGTTCTGTTGTATCTAAACTAATAGTTCATCCCAAAATGTTTGCAAATTACATTGGAAAAACAAGCGTTCGGTTGTTTCAACATCTAAATGACAAATATTGATTTTTAACCTTAGAAAATCTTTTGCAGGATAAATATGATTCATAATTTTAAAGTGCACTTCTTTAAATTTAGGATTCGCATGAAAGAATATCATACTAATATCATAAACATACGATATTGGACAAATCTGACATTGAGATATTTTGTTTTTCTGCAATACACTGTAAAACCTATGGTACAAATCACTAAATGAAATGTTTAACTCAATTATTTTACAGTTACTTGGACTTAATAAAAAAATGATGGTATCTCATACACTGATTGAATTAACTTAAACCGAATTAGTTATGCTTGAATTAATTATATTTTTGTTAACTGTAATGCTTTAAGTTAAACGAGTTTATTTTTTCTTCTAGTTTTTGTCAACAGCATACAACAAAGTAACATCGAGATTACAAAGAAGTACATTTAAAAATAAGGCTTCTTTATTGATATCAGTGGTTAAAATATAAACTTCATAAAAAAGTTATTATCTGTATCCAAATAGAAAGAAATAGCAGGTTATTCGACAGAAACCTCGCACATTCTCCCTCAAAACCGCGAGGCATGTAGCCATTGTGGCAGTGGCTAATACTCTAAATGTTTGACAACATCAACTCAAATAGTTTAATTGTAGCCTATATGATTCAATAAGTTTACAGTAGGCGACGCAGTGGCGCAGTGTAGTGCCGTCGCCTCACAGCAAGGTCGCTGGGTCACTGGTTTGAGCCTCGGCTGGGTCAGTTGGCATTTCAGTGTGGAGTTTGCATGTTCTCCCTGCGTACTTGTGGGTTTCATGACATTTAAGACATGTGGCACAGGTGAATTGGGTAGAATAAATTGTCCGTAATGTATAAGTGTGTGCATGAATGAGTGTGTGTGGATGTTTCCCAGAGATGGGTTGCGGCTGGAAGGGCATCCGCTGCGTAAAAACATGCTCAATAAGTTGGCGGTTCATTCCGGTGTGGCGACCCCGGATTAATAAAAGGACTAAGCCGACAAGAAAATTAATAAATGAAGTTTACAGTATCGAACCACTTGATTTCAAAACTTTAAACTTAAGTTTGCCGCAATCGGTTTCCTCAAACGGTTTGAGTTAACCTATCGGGTTTTACATTGCAACAAATGCAATTTCAATAGATGACTTAAATATCCCTATTTGACGATGATGCTGCTGTAGTGGGAGTGCATCTCCATAAAATACACAAGATATAAATGAAATAAACAGTGTGTTATGATTGCATTCAGATACGGTAAAATGAATAATTGCATGTAAAATACATACTATTAAAAATCTAAATAGTTAAATAAAATCATTTTGTCATTAAAGTTAGAAAATGACAATTGTTTATGCCTGAGTGCTTTTTAAAAATACTCGCAAATGATGAAGAACTTTAGATTGAACGTTTTGTATCCTGTGACTATTTGCGAATGATCACATTGCTATATCGATGTTGAAACAATGCATTGTGCAGCCATAATACACCTTTTCTTATCACAATGAGACAAATTATAAGCTCTCTTAACAGGTCTGGAAAACAACATTGTGTTAAACAATCTCTCAAAATTTAGTTTGAGCAATTTCTATTTTAAGATCAATTGTTTTGGGAGTTATCGTTGAATATTTCATTTGTTCCTTCACTAAGTTAAACATTTGCTCTTTATAATTGTATCATATGTTTTAGAGCACGGGTTTCAAACTCAGTTCCAAAAGGGCCGAAGCTCTGCACAGTTTAGTTCCAACCCTAATTAAACACACCTGATCAAACTAATTGAATCCTTCAGGCTTGTTTGAAACCTACAGGTAAGTGTGTTGGAGCAGGGTTGGAACTAAACTGTGCAGGGCTTCGGCCCTCCAGGAGTTTGACACCCCTGTTTTAGAGGACCAACGCATTTGGTATTTTCTACAGAAAGCATCATGGCTCAACATATTTCTAAACATGTGTTATAGGCCCGTAGCTAGGAGGGGTCAGGTGGTTCAAAAGACAAAGGTCCAGAATTTCTTTCCTGTTTTTTTTTCTATTTTGACTGCAATGCCATCATCAAATGTGGAAATAACCCATCAACTGTTTTAAGACCATGCAGAATATGACGTAAGTGAAGTCATGTTTTAATTGTTTTTAATTCAAATGGCCAAATTCTGACTGAGCAAAGTTAAATGTGCTATCCAGCATGATATTTGTCTAATACAGGGGTCATCAAACTTGTTCCTGGAGGGCCGGTGTCCTGCAGATTTTAGCTCCAACCCTAATCAAACACACCTGAACCAGCTAATCAAGGTCTTAGGTATACTTGAAACACCCAGGCAGGTGTGTTGAGGCAAGTTGGAGCTAAACACTGCAGGGTCAACGGCCCTCCAGGACCAGGATTGGTGACCCCTGAAGTGCCAACAGGGCCGATGCAGGGCACAGTAGGTAGTGCTGTCGCCTCACAGCAAGAAGGTCCATGGTTCCAGCCTCGGCTAGGTCAGTTCGCATTTCTGTGTGGAGTTTGCGTGTTCTCCTTGTGTTCTCGTGGGTTTCCTCCGGATGCTCCGGTTCCACCAACAGTCCAAAGACATACGCAGGTGAATTAGGTAAGCTTAATTGTCAGTATGTATGAGTGTGAATGAGTGTGTATGAATGTTTCCCAGAGATGGGTTGCAGCTGGAAGGGCATCCACTGTGTACATATGCTGGATAGTTGGCGGTTCATTCCGCTGTGGGGACACCAGATTAATAAAGGGACTAAGCCGAAAAGAAAATGAATGAATGACAACAGGCTACATTTTTAAATTATATATGATGTAATAATTTTGTATTTTAAAGATTTTTTTTCTACATTTCTTTATTATAAAATTTAAGGAAATATATTCCTACATCAAAAAATTCGCTTAATAGAGTATTTAAACCTCATAATTGAATAGAAACAAGGTGAAAAACTAGTACAAAAAGGTACACTTTTTGAGAAAAAAGAACCATCCCTTGCACCAGGCTGGATACAGGCCTGCCAAATGCGAAATCATCCGTTTCTGGTTTTGTCTTACAGTTATTTTGTAGTAAGCAGATTCCGTCCGGATATCAAATCATCCGTTTTGTGTTCTGTAGTAGGCTACGGTTCGTTTGTAGTAGGCATGCGCAACTTCAGTACGGAGTCTCATGTGATCCATTTCAGGTTTTGGTTGACGGCTATTGTGTACATGCGCACTACCTCTATTCCTGAATCCTAAATGGTCCATTTTGCTTTTTGAGAGATGCCCCGGTGAAGTTTGATTCCTCCTTCAGCGTGCAAGCAACTGTGCTGTGTGTGTTTGTGAGGTGAGCACGCCGTGCGTCTCGTCTCGCCTCCCCTTTGGAAGCGCTTTGTTTGGGCGGGTAGACATCGTGCAATCCACCATTTTTGTGAAGATTTCGGCTTCCACGCATTTCCAAAACGCGAGTGTCCGTGTCGTGCAGTGATGTCTGTGGGTCTGGAGTCTGGGTTTTCTAGCGAGGAGGTGCTGAATATTCGCTTCCCTCTCCACCGTGCGTGCAGGGATGGAGACATGGGCGCGCTCTGCACGCTCTTGCAGCGCGGCTCCGAGCAGCTCTCGGTCGAGGACTCTTTTTACGGCTGGACGCCTCTACACTGGGCTGCACACTTCGGCAAGGTACACTCTTGAATCATTTCACAGCACATCATGGTAGATTTTTGGAGATAGACACTGCGTAAATTACACACATGATTAAACATGTTTGTTGTTCCCTTTACTACACAACATTGCATCTGTCTGTCATTCGTGGATGACACCCCAACCGCATCTGAAGAATATAATGGGATCAATTGATCGCATATGTAACGACAAGCCAGCGTTACATTCGCAGACAGCTAATCTGTATTTCCCCCTTTGCTTTCCCATTTTCCGCTTGTGTCACAGACCAGCGGGTTTCCTACATAGAGCCGCGAGGAAGAGCCTGGAATTATCTGGAGAAAAAGCACAAAGTTTTACGCGGAACTATATTTGCTTTATACTATTTTAGGTATGGAGGATGCTATTGGGAGTCTAAATTATGGAAAATACCTGTCACAAAAGACAAGCTTGAGGAATATTTTGATCTGTGATGAATTTAAAAGAGTAAAAATGGGATTTTCTATTTAGTGATTGTTTTGGCACTTTGAAGAAAATTAAGTGCACTTGTCAAATTACTGGAATCTGCATTTCTAATGGTACCAATATAATACCTCAGAAAGTGCCGATATTAATGTTTTTAGCATCCTATGCCATCAATATTGTTAACTAAAAACCAATCCATCTCATTTATTGACATTAAACCAGTTTATTTTCATAAACAGTTGTTTAATTGTAATTTGTTCAGAGGGAAAATAACCTTAATCTTTACTAAAACTTTGAATGTATATGTTTTTCCTGTAGACACATACAACAACTCTCTAACATGGGCTCAACAGAATATATATATATATATATATATATATATATATATATATATATATATATATATATATATATATATATATATTATTATTATTATTTTTTTTTTTATTAGAAAATAGAATAGAATAGAAAAATATGCATGAAATAAAAATATATACACTCACCAGCCACTTTATTAGGTACACCTTGCTAGTACCAGGTTGGACCCTCTTTTGCCTTCAGAACTGCCTTAATCCTTCGTGACATAGATTCAACAAAGTACCGGAAATATTTTTCAGAGATTTTGGTCCATATCGACATGATAGCATCTTGCAGTTGCTGCAGATTTGTTGGTTTAAAATGCATTGTTTAAAAGGGAAAAAAGTTTTAGATTTTTACCCAGACATTTAAAAATAATATATTTTAGAGCAGTGAGCACAATACCATGATATTTTTCTCCAAGGTTATAACGTCAGATTTTTATACTGACCCATGCATATTGGTGACTGTGGAGGCCGTTTGAGCACAATGTCATGTTTATTGTCTGAGATGAGTCAAACTTTATGACATGGCGCGTTCCCTGCTGGAAGTAGCCATCAGGAGATGGGTACACTGTGGTCATAAAATGATGGACATAGTGAGCAACAATAATAACACACAATAACGTTGACACAAAGTGTGCCAAAAAATATCCCCCACACCATTACACCGCCACCAATAGCCTGAACCATTGATACATGCTTTCATGTTGTTGATGCCAAATTCTGACTCTACCATCCGAATGTCGCAGCAGAAATAGAGATTTATCAGACCAAACAAGGTTTTTCCAATTTTCTATTGTCCAGTTTTGGTGTGCAAATTGTAACTTCAGATTTCTCAGCGGGCAGGAGTGACACCCAGTGTGGTCTTCTGGTGATGTAGCCTATCACCCTCAAGGTTCGACATGTTGTGCATTCAGAGATGATCTTCTGCACACCTCGGTTGTAACGAGTGATTATTTATTTAAGTTACTGTTGCCTTTCTATCAGCTCGAAACAGTCTGGCTATTCTCCTCCTCAGCCTGTCTGGCACTAACAACCAAGTCACGTTAAAAATCACCTAAATCACCTTTCTTCCCCATTCTAATGCTCTATTTGAATTGCAGCAGATCGTCTTGACCATGGCTGCATTCAAAACCACTTTCTACTTAGTAGGTACTTGAATTTAATCGTACTACTCAGCCATTAGAAAAGTACATTCTATACAGTATGAATGTGAAAAGTATGAATGGAATTCGGACGTACAACATCCGCCATTTTGTCATGGTCACGTGAACTACCTGCGTCAGTTGCGTCGCTTCACTCCCATTCATGAATTCTCTCACGAGGCATCATGGGATAGAGCAGCGTGCATGGGATGCGCACTCCAGAATCTCGCCGGAAGTCATCCGGGTACTTCTCGTATACTGATTTTTGAATTCTATCAATTTGGACATACTACTCTGCTCGCATACTGATTTTAGCGTACGATATAGTATAGAAGTATGCGGTTTTGGACGCAGCCCATATCTACATGCATTGAGTTGCTGCCATGCGATTGGCTGACTTAAAATTTGCATTAACGAGCAGTTGGGCAGGTGTACCTAATAAAGTGACCGGTGAGTAAATATATATATTTTTTAGGTTTACAATGCAAATCCAATTACAACCAAATGTTTGGTAAAAAAAGGAAGTTTCTCCTAATATATCTACTGAAAGATAGAAAATATTACTTTACAAACTGTATTGTACTACATGAATCTGAAACCGTCTAAAAAATGAATAAATATTTATTTACACATTTGCATAACTAAACTCAATGAAGGGCTAAAAATCTGTGGAAATCTGCAAATTTCTACATGCTCAGATTCTGTGTGGACCTTAATGTTCTTTGTTCAGATAATAAGCCAAATACTATTTTTGGGTGCTAATAACAGGTGTCATTTTAGTTTGACACATGTGGGTGTAGTGTAGTCTTGCCTCAATTACTGATGTTGATCTTCAGGTTTCCCTCAATTTCTCAAGAGCTACATTATCTTTGTCATGTAGCCCATGTCTGTTGTCTTATATTCTCAGATGTCCCAAGGTTGTCCATTAGGATGAAGTATGAGATTTAGCAGGCTGATACTGTATAAACACCAACTCATCGGTTTATTTTTAGAAATGTTTACTGAAAAGGGAAAACATGCATGAGCTTGCATCTTAACCTTTTCAAACTCGAAAGTGAATTCCTCTGCGTCAGTTGATGAGCGTGATCAACGGGGTGTTTTATTTTAAACCAGATCTTCCAGTTTAAGTAAAATGTTGCATGATGTTTTATGACTTATAAAAATAGTCATGAGGAAGTTGTGTGTTCAGGTGGCGCTCCCACTCTGTGTGTCTGTTTGGTTTGATCTTAATGGGTGTAATGTCTTCTATAAAGCATGGGAGTGTCTAAGAATCATTTAAGCACTGTTGAGAAGATGAATAACAGGAAGAGTCCAACTGAAATTTGAGATAAAGTAGGGATGAGGCACTAAATGGTTCCATTAAGTAGCAGATGCAGTTGATTTCCTACTCCGGTACATTAAAGTGAGAGCAATATTTAACCCAAGTGGATGATTAACAGAGGTGTTGTGTAACCCTGCAATGAGAATAAATAATGGACCTTTTCACAAGCTGTGATCTGATTGTTTTTTTTTAATGACACTTTAAAGGATCGCAGTTTTGTTTTGAAGACTTTCTTCAAGTCTATCCAACGACAAAATACTCTTGACCTTTCCTGTAATACACACTGTAGCATCTGCTTTATTCTCAGTTTCTGAAATAGTTTGTTTAAGCATCTGGGCTCTCCAAACACCTCATACTCTTTATCTGATTGGTCAGATCTGTTGTGATTGCCTAAAGCTTTTAAGTCTTGTCTGAAACCATATGCCATTACCGTATTAGATATTCAGCTCCAGTGGGTTTCACAGCACTTATAAACTATCTCAGTAATAACCATGGAAATTGTTTTACCATTAACATTAGCTTACCCCCCCCCCCAATAAAAAATAATAATAAACAATGCCAGTGACTCTCGACCCCCAATATCCTCGGAGGTGGTTATAAATAAGTAAAACTTACACACAGTGGTGCACACACCCCAATAGGCCAACGTCTATTATTCATTTAATTTTGGAGAACGTCACTCTAAGACCTTCCTCCATATTCAGTCATGGTCTTTACTTGTAATGTACGAGTGTCTGAAATGTGTCAATGTTTAACCTGGTGCCATAAAAATAAACCATTACTAATGGTGTGCATATATTTTGCAGCCAGTTTAAACCAGTCATTTCGTCATTTATCCTTTAGATTAAAGAATGAATTTGCGGCTTATCTCTCACACATATAATAATTTTATAGAATTTTTCTTTATTATTAATTTTATATAATAATAATTTTATGTTGTTTGCCATCTGCTACTCTGAGGAAGTACACATTTATTATAAATAAAAAAGGAGCAATAGTGGTTGCCCACTTTTTACCCCCAAACAAAATCCTGTTAATTTACTCACCTACAGGTCATCCAAGATCTAGGCAGCTTTCTTTTTTTTTTTAGAAACTTTTAAAAAAGATTTTTAGATGAATCCCTTTGCTGATTCTTATAATGGCTGTCTTTTGAGATAAAAAGTAAGCAAATAAAAACTAATCCAAAACAACAGCCTTGTCTCCTGATGACACGCTAAGATGGAATTTTTTACTAAATTATTAGCTTTAATCCAAGGCCTAGTCAAATACATTTTGGCGCAAACGCAGATGTAGTCCTGTTGTTTTAATGATGAATGTGCGAGGGTACTCTCTTGGACAGGAGGTCAGGTGATGCAGTTTGTTGATTGATATCTGTTATTGCATCACCAGCACCTACACACAAAAATATTTTATTGTGATCGTTTGAACTAATTTAGATTGAGCTAAAACAACACAATTCTTGAGATTTCATTGGGACAACTTAACACTTAACAACTTTGGATTGACCTTAAAGAAAATGAAGTTAACTTGGTTTGTATTGAGACGTCATGAATTGTGTGAAACCCTGCATTTGTTTTACAGTGTAGAGCGTTCATTTTGAATTTTGAATTAATGGAGAATGATTGATAGGCACATCGGTGGGAAGCCCTGACATTAGGCATGGACCGGTATAAGATTTTGACGCTATGATAACCTTGGATGTAAATATCACAATTTCACGATATTGTGATTACTGCTTTAAAATATATTCTTTTTAAATGTCAGTGTAAAAAACTAAAACTTTTCCCCTTTGAAAACAAAATATTTTATTTTTTAAAGGTTTATAATAGTTTGGAGCAGTAAACATGTCAGGCTGAATAATTCAAATAAAGCATTGTCTTCATTGGTTTCCAAAACACAGATTTCTTTACAATTAAAAACGGCATCTTTGGACATCTCCTCTGCTGGAGATACTGCTGTCCTAAAAAACGTAAATAAAAAATTGAACGCATACCTTAGGAACGGTATTACAGAAAATGTTGGCGATTTTAAAACCTTGACTTTTCCAAACTGCGGTTTACCTTGAACACGGTTATCGTCCCATGCCTACCTGACATACATTTGACCACTTGAATATTTATCTGTAATTCACAATTAGCTATAGAATAGCTCCAGAACATTTGGAATATAGTAAATGAAAACTTTATTTCATAGTGCCTTTTGTAATATCTTCATAGCTTTTAAATGTCACCCAATCTTGCAAAAGAATGCAGTATCGAAGCCAATATATGATTCTATTATTAGATCTGCGCATCTCTATACAGCAGCCCCATAATAGCTTTTTATTTGTTTTGTTTTTTTTTTTTCTTTTTGTAACAAATAGGATTACAAAAATAGTTTCTACTCCGCACTAAAGGACTTTACCCAATAATGACAATTTCTGCTGAGAACTCCGATCCATACTGCTTGCTCTCATTTTTTTGTTGAGCAATTTGTCTGTCGTATTGATCTGTTGTATTATCTGTAAGCATGAGCTGAGCACTGTTGTCTGCGTGTGCTCTCTTGTCCCACAGCTGGAGTGTGTGGTGCGTCTAGTGCAGGTGGGATGTGGTGTGAACTCTATGACCTCTCGCTTTGCCCAGACGCCTGCTCATATTGCTGCCTTCGGGGGTCATCCTCAGTGCCTGCTCTGGCTGCTGCAGAATGGAGCTGATATAAACAGACAGGTAAGAGTTTTCTGCATTATTATACTGGAGATGGATGCAATTTCTGAGGAATATTTTGTTTTGAAGTGATCACTGAGAATGGCCCAGAAAAGTAAACATGGTGGTTAAACTTGTTTTAATGGGGTTTTAGTCTAGGTGTGTCCAGTCATGCTTTTTAGGGGACACGTCCTGCAGTGTTTTGCTTGAACACACTTGTTTGGAAGTATCTTTACTTGCACACCCATGTATTGGGCACAACACAAAGCAGTTGTTTGTGGTTGCTTTGAAACGTCACAGCTACTAAATTAACATGTTTATAGGTGTAATTAACAGCAGCTTTCAATCTTTCAATTATAACATGGACGTCATTCTATCAATATTATCACAGTTTTGAGGTTTTAATTATAATGTTATGACCTGTGAATTTAAATTGTTATAATCTGTGAAAACCTAAATGCAATAGAAACTGCCAAATAAGTCAACAAATGTAATTGTTTATGTCTTTCATGTTGTAAATCTAGTTTACTGTAGAAAAAAAACCTCTTATTGCATAATTGATCATTTTCTTCCTCATATTTGTCAGCAGTGATGTGCTCTAGGGTGTTTGATGTTACATTTTCAGTTATTTGGTTATTAATGTTGCACTGTTTTAGTGTCACCATCATGGTATTTTTTTTTCTTCTTTTTTTTTTTTGCAGTGTTTTGTTGCAAAAAGTGTTTTAGTGGTAAACCATAAGATTCTGTTTCTGTTTTATCAGTCTGTTTTTGAGAGTTTGATTAGATGGTACTCATCAGGTTTCCAAACTGATTGTCCTATCTAATGCTAATGCTATTAACTAATGCTAAAAAACTACATGATGGAAAGAGAAGCCAACTTTACAGTTGTATTTGCAAGCCCAAGACAAATTTGGAGCCATATACTGGGATAGTTTGTTGTATATTTAACCAGGATAACACTGTTTAAAGTTTATAAATGAGTTTACAATCTGTATATAAGTGTATATAAGTTTAGAAATGATCTTTTTGTATTATTATGGTAATCATAAGCTAAGTTTAAAATTGCCATATCATTAAATTGCCTGTGAGATTGCCTATATGCGTAACGAAAACGAGGCAACAGTGGGAAGAAACCTGGAAGTGTAGGATCAGCATTGTAAACATTGCAACAACATGCTGTGTACTACAAACCTCCAACTGTTGCCATTGATTTCACTGTGCAGAAATGGTGTAAACATCACTTTAATATAATTCAGTATAGTTTAATTGAAACAATTAAAAACATATTAGGCAACAAACAACATGACTATCTCTTTTTAAGAGTAATATGCTAATAGTGTCCTCCTAGACTTCAGTTCATGCAGCGGGTAAACACCGTGAGGATGCTTCATGGCTTCAGCCTATGTAACCCAGTGAGCGATAAAACGATGCAGTCCTCTGTAGCACACCCTTGTGTTGTCTGTAATAGTGTTGTCCTGCTACTGAAGTTTTAAAAACGTCCATTTCCTATTAACATTTAAGCTGAGCGTGTTCTTAAACAGCAGATTCGCCATAGTATTCACCAGCGCTCAACAGAAATGACTGCGATTGGCTGTGAAGGTCATCAGTTCAGCGCTCTTCACAGATTGCAAACACAGATACACGGACACTGGATCATTTTAAAGCCATGAAGATCAGTCGATTCATCAAGTGGATCACTCGTCTGTGTTTGCACTGTAAACATCAGTAAAATGCCGTGAACTGATTACCTCTACGGCCAATCAGTCATTTCTGTTGAGCACGTAAATACAATGGCAAATCAGCGCTGTTTAAGAACGTCATCAACAGTGCCTTAAATGTTAATGGGAAATGGATGTTTTTTTTTTTTTTTTTAATTTCAGTACCAAAATTTTGAATCGTGACAAGTCTAATATAGTGAAAGAATCAGTTCATTAACATTTAAAATGTCTAAAACGTGTGTTTGGGAAAGAAAATGTTAGCTAACTAGTGCCATTTCCCATAACTTAGCTGAAAATGAGGTCCAATATCCCTTTTTATTTTCACTATATTCATTCAAAATGGACCTTCAGGTCACTCAGAAGGTGATGAAAGTATATATTTTGTCACTTACTCTTCGCTGATAAGATATACAGCCAGGTACACAACGTTCCTGTGTGACTCGGTGTGATACTTTCAGATTTTTTCCCACCGCAGCCTCTATTTTGCTGTTTTAAATGGTGGCTGCGTGAAATCAGTCTATACACAATACTATCACATTGAGCTGGCAGTTTTATGTTTACTTATTTTTTCATTTATTTAATACTTTCTAAGCATATTTAATAGTCTTAAGACCTTTACATTTTGTCTTGGGAAATAACTCAAATCAATGCAAATCGCCATAAACTTTTAGCTAAATTAGCTTTTTTTATTTAACAACACTCGACACAAACTAGTGCGGTGTGGGAAGAGATTTGGTAAATTATGTAAAAATTAATAAATAAAAGCAAATTAAATTAAATTCATCACCGCACAAAAATAAGGATGCATTAAGATCCTTTTAGACAAAACGTGACACACAGGCGTCTGGTACTACATTTTATGATAAAACATGCTTTATTATGGTGATAATCAGTACACTATAATAAATATCAGGTTTCAGTTGTTGGGTAGTTTGGTTTCCTCAGTTTCATTGCTGTGTGTCTGTGTTCATTCGGTGTCCACTGTATCACTATTGTATTTTCCATATGTGCAGAACTGAAATCCCCATCAGCTTGTGTGTGCGCACAATCCTGTTTATTCAGATATTCACCGCCTCTGGCATTCATTACAGCAGAGAAATGGGATTACTAGGCCATTGTTACATAACCGCAGACGTGTTCTCCATATATAGGCTAGTTTCACGTCCCCGTTGACTCAGGCAGATCAACATTAATCATTTAAGGGCATCACGACTGATCTCTTCCCCGGTCTTAAGTCTTGTTGGAGCGAAAAGCAACAAGGCGTGAGTCTGACCCACATTCTTTCACTCATGAATCACTGCTTCTGCTGAAAGCACTGAGCGGCGGTCAGACCCTCGCCCGAGTCTTTCTGTCAAAGTGAAAAGTTCAAGCCTTCTGTTGGGCGGTGCTGCTGCTCCGCCAGGCTGATTCACCAGCTCCTAAATAAATGATGATGATGATGGGCTATGACTGAGAGATGGCACTTTCACTTCCAGCAATATGTGGATTGCTGCCATAATATTCAGCAATCTGTCTTGGTAATCTGCTGACATTATTTTAAAAACTACTACAAATAAAATTAAGCAAGTGACAAGAAGTTCAAACAATTTTGATTCGATTTATTTTCTGTTGTCTTTTACCTTTGAAATATTGATTTTTGTAACTAAGATAGTTTAAGTTGAAGCAAAAAAAGTTCAGTAAAAATGAGGTAAACTTGAAATTAATCAATGAAATGAACTAGAGCCAATATTAAAGCAATAAATTAAAAAGAAAAATTGGTAACGCTGTAATTTAGGTCACAATTAGGCAGATTTTAGTCCATCATTGATTCAGTTTATTTGTGTAAATGTGCAAATTTAATATTTTTTTTCAGTTTTTATATTAATTTCAGTATAATTGTTGACTAATATGAAAATATCCATATGATTTATTTACATTACAGTTAGTAAAGTCATATTTTCTGACTAGCCTTTTTTACAAAATAAAGTGGATTTAATTGAATTTGCATTGTAAACATTAAAAGTTTAAAATGTATTTTAATTTCATATATTAAGGTTTTAGTTATGATACTTCTAAGATTAAGATTTGCATAAATCTGCAGATTTTTAACAAAATTCTGCGCAGAAATAGCAATAAATGTCTGCAGATTCCATCTGGCCCTAGTCACAATTCACGTTTTTAACTACTGGCTTATTACCCGTCTATTACTAATATATTAACTCATTTATTTATTTATTTATTTATTTATTTATTTATTTATTTATTTTTCAGTAGTTATAAAGTATGAGCTTATTCTACATCCCTAATCCTGTTTAAACCTAAATCCAACTTCTACCTTAATGGACCCTTTTCATTAGACTGTTATGACACGTTTAACATCATCTTAATCTTAAATTCTTGAAAGTTTTTAATATTTTGATAAAAATTACATATGAATATGCATTTTTGAATGTATTATATCATCTTTGCGTCAAATTACAAACAATAAATTACTGCTTTTGCGAGGTGTTTTCTATAGCATCGTCTGTAAATTTGACGTTATGTTCTCCTCTGGCTGTCGTTTTCAGTCTCACACTATTTTTTTTTTCCTTTGTGGTATTTTTCTATTATTATTTAAGCAAATAGGTTTGTAAAAATATTTGTTTTATTCTCCCATTCACTGTGCTTAAGTTTATCCAACTATGATGATTTATTCTGCTGAGAAACACGGAAATGTGAAAGGGTTTATATTTATAAATAAACAGCTAATTAGAAATTTATTTAGCTAGTGTTAGTTAATGGTTTGTTAATACCATGAATTGTGACTTAGACTAAAGCGTTACTGAAAAACATTTTTGGCAGTTGCCATGTGACTAAATATAGCATTTATTAGAGTTGATTAGAAACTAAAAAATATATATATTTGTGACACTTAAGACTGTATTTATGACTTGTGAAAACAGTCGTGTGTCTGTGTGTCTGTGTGTCTGTGTGTCTGTGTGTCTGTGTGTCTGTGTGTCTGTGTGTGTGTGTGTGTCTGTGTGTCTGTGTGTGTCTGTGTGTGTCTGTGTGTGTCTGTGTGTGTCTGTGTTTATGTCTGTGTTTATGTCTGTGTTTATGTCTGTGTTTATGTCTGTGTTTATGTCTGTGTTTATGTCTGTGTTTATGTCTGTGTTTATGTCTGTGTGTATGTCTGTGTGTATGTCTGTTTGTGTGTGTGTGTGTGTGTGTACACTGGGGGAAACGTATTCAAGGAGTCATGTTGTTTTTTGGGGGATTGATATTTCTAAAGGAGCTGTTGACATGGAATAACCAGATTTTGGTAAAAACCTAAACAATATGCACATAAACATAACAAAACAAGTTGGGAAAAAATATGTGTCCTAACAATGAAATGACACAAGGAAAAAGTACTAAACAACTGAAATGTTTTTAATACTTTATATAAAAGGCTGGTTCTGGTTCTGTGGGTCTCGTCTATCAAATCTGATCTTAAATTAATATTTTATATTGGATTCAAGTCAAATGATTGGCTGGGCCATCCTACATATATATATATTTTTTTCTGAAAACATTTGAGCGTTTCATTGGCTGTGTTTTGGATTATTGTCTTGCTGAAATGTCCACCCTAGTTTCATCTTCAGCTTCCTGCTAATGTAGATGTTGGAAGCAGCTGATGTTAATTTACAATAAGGAAGGGCAGAGGGTTGCTGAAGAACTACTGATAGATTTCAGCTGCTGTCTGGGCTTTCACTGCCTTTTCTCACTTCCCTTTCTTCATGTGTTCAATAGTTTTCCATGCATTCATTTATTTTACTGAACATAACTTACTTTGTAAACTAATTAATATTGTTTTCTCTGCATGTATAGATTTATTTGGTTGTTACCAACATCCGGTGAAAAATTCAAGTCAACAGCACCTTTATAAACATGTTTTCTGAGAAAAAGAGTGACGTGTTTGATGCTTATTTCCCCCATTGTATGTACGTTGTTGAGTGTCAGTGTGTGCTACAGTTCTACAATGGATTTACAACCTAATACACCATAACTTAGTGTAAAGATAAGGTTGGATTGTGTCGTTGATTTTACTGTGATCGTGAATAATGTCATTAGTCAAGTAAAAAAAAAAACATTAACAATCACTAAATACTGAATACATTTTCCAGTTCGCACACATCTATAATTAGTCGAAAATGTAAGTGAAATGGTGGCACTGTCAAGCCCTGATATTTAATTTCTATAATTTCCATTGTTCCTATCTTTTTTTTGTCTCTGTGTTTTTTTTTTTTTTTTTTTTTGTTTACATGATACAAATATCCATTGCTTGAAACAGATGGAAATCTGTCTGGATTGTGCTGTCTTTCTATAGAGATTCCAGGCAAGCTGTCATTATTGTCCATTGTTTTGCCTGCCATGTCTCCACATGGATATCATAACTGAAAACAAACTATTTGCAAATTTCATGACAGTCCTGCTCTCATCTCGTGCTTTTGCATTCTGTCTGTGTTTTAGGATTATGTTGGAGAAACCCCCCTCCACAAAGCGGCCCGTGCTGGCAGCACTGACTGCATTAACACCCTCCTGCTCCAGGGAGCAAAGACAGAGTAAGTCTTCAATAACTGCTGCTCGCAGTAACTGTTTCTCTCTCTGTCCCTTACATCCATACAAATGCCCCGCTGGTGCTTTATTTAAGAAGCGCTCCATCAAAACACAGCTGTTGATCCTTACACATAACAAAGCTCTACTTTTCTTTTCTTCCACTATAAGACAATATGGGAACAAAACATATATGGTGTGTGTGTGTGTATAAAGGGTACTTTTTAATTGACCATTTCCTAGCCTTCTCTGTAAATACATATGATACTCATTGTCCATAGTGGTAGAAAACTGGCTGGTTTTCAATCTCACATTTTTAGTTTGTTTTAAAGACTGTGTGAGTGATTTTCTTTAACTGGTAATTTAAATTTTTTTTTTACATTTTAACATGAGGATGCTACTATATGAACTTATTTGTCATTTAATTTTAAGATTAGTTGTCAGTCACGACGGCAATAGAAGACATAAAAGTTGAGTAAAGAGATATATCGATTTCACTTAATTAAAGCAGCTAATTTGTTTTCATATTTTTCAACTGATTATATTACATCTCAATCACTTTCAAATGTGATGAATATGTGAAGGAAATAAATTTTACGTTTAGGAAAAATATATAGTATTTTTATAGTGTATGTAGAAATACATTGCTTATACGGTAACACTTTACAAAAAGGTCTCCTTATTAAAGAATTGTTCTCTCAAAATTGAAAATATTGTCACCATTTACTCATTCCCAAGTGGCTTCAAACCTGTTGGAGATATTTTGCAGAATGTTGAAACCCAGTAGCTAGCTATTGACCTCTATAATATTTTTTTTTCCTACCATCGATGTCAAAAGTCACAGGCTTCCAACATTCTTTAAAAAAATCATCTTTTGTGTTGTGTTCAACAGAGAAAAGAAACTCCGCTATAAAAGTTTGGAACTACTTGAGGGAAGTAATTCTGAATTTTTATTTATTTATTTATTTTTTATAACTATGCCTTTATCGTTATTTAACATTTTCACTTTATTAGGAATATATTTGATTAGCAAGTTATTGATTGTTCAAATAAAAAATACAGTTGCTGTTTATTTCTTGTTTATCCATTAAGATGTACACAATATAACAGTTTAATATTGTATTCAAATTAGGGCTGGGCCAATAAGCGACATTATATTAAATTGTGATAAAATTTATGTCAATAACAAGGATAAGCTCTGGACATTTTTACTCCATATTGATTTAAGAGCCAATCACAAAGCAGAAATTTGCAACAATAGGAATCTAAAAGCGAATGTACTGAATTTTCGGCACCGCAAATTTATCAATCTAAATTTATCAATTTAAAAATGTTATTCCATTTAATGGACCCTCTAATTTTTGTGGCTTCAGTAGTTGTTGGGTACTCTTTTAAATCTAAAAGCATTAACAACTTATAAATAATATACTTATATACAACTTGTATATAAAAATATCGTTGTCATTCAATAGGAAAAATAATTAACGAGATTGCATTTTTGCCATATCGCCCAGCTCTAATTCGAAAGTGTTTTTTATTGCTTGTTCAGATAATTAGATGTTGACTTAAGTTAATCTCCAATGTTTTTATATGTAAAAAAAAGCATACATTTAACATTGAACATACATTGAACATTTTTTTAGCATTTATTATTTTGTTAAACAAGTGTTTTTTTTTTGTTTTTTTTGTTAATTGGCTTTGTTTCTTTATAATAAAAATATAATATATGCTAATACATATGCTAATGTAAATTATATGTAAAGAATTAAAACATGGGTGCTCAGTTCTGTTACTGGAGATCTAGCTTTCTGCAGAATTCAGTTTCAACCCTGACTAAACACACTCTTTAATTAACCATTTAATTAGGACCGTAATAGCACTTAATAAGCAGGTGTGTTTGATCAAGGTTGCAACCGAAATCTGCAGGAAGGTATTTCCCCTGGAACAGGGGGGGTCACCCCTGAATTAAAAGATCAATAAATGACTCTTACATTGTTAGTTAATGATAGCTAGTGCATTAACAAATTTTGACACAATAAATCCTTTTGTAAAATGTTACTGTATAAAATTTAAAGCAATTATTTAAGCAATCCAAGCTGAAAATGTGATTTTGACAGCACCTTCATGCAGCCAATCCATGTCAACGTGCATTTTGATGGAGCTCTTCTGAAATATGTGAGCAGATTTAGTATTATTGGCTTGGTTTTGCCTAAATGTGAAATGTATTCTGAATTTGATGATCTCTATCATGTCTTCTATAATCCCCTGTGAAGTGCGGAGGTAATATCCTTTTTGTTTCCTTCACTTTTTGATTTTAAATGTATTGTCATTACAAGGTTGCGAACTGCAGCACATTTCCTCATAGCTCAAAAGCAAACAAAAACTCTTGCTATTTTAAGTCGACCTTGGTTGCTAAATGTTTTGATCCTTGTTGAGAGATAAGAAGTAAGAGAACCCAATGGGTGAGCTGCATTCAAAATATCTCTGCAAAGTCAATAATGGTTATTTTAATGCACTCTAAACCTGCCAAACCATTACTCCCGTCCCAAATGACACACTATACACTATTTACTTTTACACTATGCACACAACCGTCTGAGTATTTACAATTTTTGGTGTGAATGCACTACTTGTACTACAAAAATGGCATAAAATAATGCATAAATATGTGATTTGGGATGCACCAAATATTATATTTAGGGGTCCACATACTTCTAACAATAACAAAACAGAATTAGAAACTTTTCTGTACTTGTGACCTGGTAAAATGTCCAAACCAAGGCCAAATGCATGTACAATTCAAAGGCAAGTATGCAATCACAGCGAATGTTTTTGCTCTAGTTTACAACTTTTATTGTGGATGCATCAGGATGTGATGCATCTATTCAGTGATTTATTTATAAAGATTATAAAACTATTTAACAGTTTGCTCAAATGTATTTTGAGATTATAAATCTTCTTCTTTGTCCCCTTGGGTATTGCTTTGCCTGAGCACAAACTTGAGTAATTTTAATTATACTTCTTAAATAAGTCTCCAAATTCATTAATGTACACTTTCCAATATAGTCTTTATAAATAAAAAAATGATTTGAGATTAAAACTACATCCTCACCTGAAAAACAAATTTTTTATACTCCTAAAACTACATTTTGTGATATCACATTAAGCACCATTTACACATGAAGCAACATACCATGACAACGAAACAAGCGACCATTCATTTCATTGGAGAGCTAGCAAAACCGCCACTCAGCCGAAAGTCAGCTACAAAGTGTAAATGAGGCTTTAGAGGTAGTATTCAATTTTGTATTGGCCATTAAATTTGCTAGTTTGACTTGATTACTGCTTATCTTGATTTTCTATAGTATAAGCTTCTAATACTACTTATTTATTAGGGGTGGGACAGTTCACGAGCTCAAACTCGAATAGCACTGTTCTTTGTTCACAGTTTGTGGTTTGATTTAGCTTACATTGTTAAAGTACTGTGTTGTAATAGTTAAAGACTATAAATCAGCATAAAATACAGGCTGCGTCCGAAACCGCCTACTACTCAGTAGGCACTGCATTTGAATTTAAATGTACTATTCGGCCGTTAGAAAAGCAGGTTTTATACAGCATGAATGTGAGCAGCATGAATGGAATTCGGACATACTTCAACTGCCATTTTGTCATGATCATGTGACCTACCTGCATCAGTTGTGTCGCTTCACTCCCATTCATGAATTCTCTCGTGGGTAACCATGGGATAGCCCACCTTGCATGGGATGCGCACTTCAGAATCTCGCTGGAAGTAGTAAGTCATCCGGGTAGTTCTCGCATACTGATTTTCGAATTGTGAATTCGGACATACTACTCGACTGGCATATACAGATTTTAGCGTTCTATACATTATGGAAGTATGCAGTTTCGGACGCAGCCATAGACTTATAATCTACAGTTTACAGTATTTAATAAAGTTATTCTAATGGCCATGTAATTAAATTTCAGTCTAAGTCTTAGCTTTATGTTGATTTATAGTAATGGCAACAGCTTAAGACTTAGGGTGCTTTCACACTTGGTTCAATTGCCTGAACCGTACCCAAGTTCGATTGTTTCCCCTTGCTACCTTCTCGGTTGGTTTGTGTTCACACTGTCTTTTTTCCTTCTGAACCCCAGTACGCTTGCGTCATCGAGCTGCTGTTTTGTAAACGACCGTCGCTAGGTGACGGTCACGAAAGCAAAGCGCCGAAATGAAAAGTCATCCGCACATCGCGGCCATTCTGCTTTTACTGAAGCTTTTGGTTTTTAACATACAGAAAGCGACTTGCGTCCATCTGCCGCAAAAATATTATAAACATTCAGAACATTACACAGAGTCTGCAGAAGCTGTTTTTAAAGGAGAAGAGCAAAAATGATCACTGTGTTTGCTCTGGCTCAGTCCTGCTTGTTACCAAGGTACGATACGTGACACACACACACACACACACACACACACACACGAATGAACATTATGTAAACGATAGTTTGTTGTACAGTACAGTTGGTGGTTCACTTTCATTATTTGGAAAGCAAAGCACTAAAATGGAAAGACTTCCCCACATCTTGGTTGATTTGCTTTTACTGAATCGTTTAATTTTGAACATACAGAAAGTGACTCGCGTCCATCTGCTGCAAAAATATTATAAACATTCAGAAAATCACAAATTGTCTGCAGAAGCTGTTTTTAGAGGAGACAAGCAGACATCACTGCGTATCATTGTGTTTGCCCAGTCCCGCTTGTCACCAAGATACAAAACGTGACTCACACACACACGAACAAACGTTACAAAAACGACAGTTTGTTTTGGATTTGGCGGTTCACTTCCGTTATTTGGTACGATTGCATTCACATCAGAATTGAACTGTACCAGAGTTCGCATGAACTGTACCTCAGACCACCTCTTTCAGGCGGACTCGGATACGGTTCACGGGTGTGCACACGAGTTCAAAAGACACATTCACACTAGCTAAATGTACCGTACTATGATGA